TGTTCAGCGTTTGGCGTGGTTGCCGGTCGCGGTGGCGGCGTCGACGTTGGCAGAGGCGGGGCCGAGACGAATATTTTGTTGAGTCAATTTTAACCGTTGATGGAATATTGCCCCTGAAAGCCATGCAAAAGTTCAAGGTAAGAATTGTCCGTGTCGTGCCGGTTGGTTCGTTTCAACTTGTCATTTTTTGTCGGTGATCTCGGTGCGGAGTGCCTTGGTGGCGGTTTAGCCGGAGCGGAAACACACGAACCCTCCCCTGCAAAAAGGGCTTCCTTACCCCATCAGGAGGACACGGAAGGCATGTCTAGATGATATGGCTCGATGATGAGGAGAGGGTTTAATCGTAATGTAACCTCGTGCTCTTTGATGCGAACGACGTATGTTCGTGATTCCGGTCTGCGCTGCCAGCTTCATTAATGGGGTTTTTTATATTTTGAAAATTAAGGTGACACTTTCGCCCTCTGATTCAGGGGTTTGTCTCAACATATGCGTGGCCTGGAACTTTATTTGCGGTGTTTTTGGGGGTGATGCAAGTGTGGGATAACTCGGCTGGGCTGTGAACACGGTGTAGCAAGGCTGGAAAAAGAACAAAAGCTGTCAAAATATAGGGACAAAGCACCCAAGACGAATGACATCCATCAAAATATTAAACTAAAATGTTAGCTATGTTTTCACGAAGCGTTGAGCTCAGATATGAGTCGTTGTCAACTAAACCCGTCATCACTCAGCAGGAGTCGATAAAATGTTTTAAACGTTTGAGGTGTCCGTGTGGCTCAGAGGTGAGAGCATTGGGCTGTGGTACCGTTGACAGCCTGAGTTAGACTCGGGGGAGACGCGCGCGATTAAACCCGCCGGGTTCTCCAGTGCAGCGAGTTGATGGCCTCAGCCCTGTCACAGAGGGCCGCACTAAAAGCAGCCCACGTTCTGTTCAATTTGGGTTTGAACTTAATTTGGCTAAATCCCAACTGGACTTGAAAAAATTGTTTGACGTTCAGACTAGTTTTACAGTCGGGTAATGAACAACCTCTTGGCTTTTCGTGATTCCTTCGTACCCTCTATCGCGGCCACTCAACCCTTGCCGGCGCCTGCTATCGACATCATTATATTCTGTCACCGTTTTTTAAACTACGTTAAGCGCCTTCAGTGAAGACGCTCTATAAATATTAACTATGTTGTGTGAAGTCAGTCGTGTCTGTTGTAAAAAGAGAGACACCCGCCCCAGGAATGATTCCTCCCACTGGCTTAGGGTCACCAACGGCAAACCTCCAATGAGCACGCTTGGCCATGTACATTGTGAACTAAGTTAATTATAAATCTATACAACACAGACGATCGCCGCCCTATCGCGTGTGTGGGCTGGAGAGTCCCTGAGACGTAGAACACAACGTGTGTACGGCAGTGGCAAACAAGAGACGGTGCTATCCCCCCCCAACCACCACCACCAGTGTGGGCTCAGCCTTGCCGCTCCTCTTACTCCTCCACTCACTCCTGGGCCATCATCTCCACATCCACTCCCCACCGCACCTTCACGTCCTGGGTCACCGCCTGGGCCATCATCTCCACATCCACTCCCCACCGCACCTTCACGTCCTGGGTCACCGCCTGGGCCATCATCTCAACATCCACTCCCCACCGCACCTTCACGTCCTGGGTCACCGGCTGGGCCATCATCTCCACATCCACTCCCCACCGCACCTTCACGTCCTGGGTCACCGCCTGGGCCATCATCTCCACATCCACTCCCCACCGCACCTTCACGTCCTGGGTCACCGGCTGGGCCATCATCTCCACATCCACTCCCCACCGCACCTTCACGTCCTGGGTCACCGCCTGGGCCATCATCTCCACATCCACTCCCCACCGCACCTTCACGTCCTGGGTCACCGGCTGGGCCATCTCTTTTAGAGGCCGGCCTCTTGACCGCCACCCAGGTGCTTCAGCATCCGGCCTGCGAAGGCCCTTGGGAGCGGCGCGCCGAGCTAGGGCCCGCCGAGAGACAAAGAGAAGCAGATCCGTGACTTGAAAGTTAGATCAACAAGAGGGAGATCAAAGGCCATGAAGGGACGTGTGAGGTCGTACCCTCTGCGCGTTTGGCGCGTGGCGTTAATATGTTGCCCGCAGGCACGCGCCAGCTTTGTTACGTGGCCCCTACCGGAGAGCGTTAGCTGGCGGTGTTTGGTTGGCGAATCGCAAAAATAGTTTTGTGACTCTTGCGTCTGGTGGCCACCACCGCAGGCCGCCAGACGCTTGGTGGATCGCCAACCGTCTGGTGGCCTTGCGCGGTGGCCTCGGGACGGCAGCAAAGGGAATGCTAATGCCCGTCGCCGTTGAGATTTAATGTTAATGATTTATATATAATGACCTTTGTGCATACAGGAAAGCATCCTTGTTTTTAGGAGGGCCTTGCAATTTGCGATGTTTGGTTTAACTCCACTGTTGTTTCGCGTGGAAGGAAATGACATGAGCTCAGTATAGACTGATTAAAGTATACATTTTCTCAAAGGCTATCTCAAGAACCACCCACCACCTGGCACCATCGGGTCTATCTATTTAATTATCATCAAGAGAGTACATTTGCAAAGATAATAGCACTGGGGAGTAGAGAAAAGCGAGGCGTTTATACATATAATACGCTGCTGCGTCGTGCCATGTGAACCAGCGACTTTGTTCCAAATCAGAATTATAGTTCACTGCCCTGGAAAGGCTTTTGTGCCTTTTTAACTTGTAAGTGTCCATTCCAGCCTCGCATCGCACGCTGCGTGAATGATGCATGAGCCCCGACTCTTAACCAGAGTTCGGTTTCTGCTGCCTACGTCACGTCGCCCCCACCCAGAGTCGTCGTTCCGACGCGACAGCTCTTTAATCCAGTCGTCACCCTGATTGGCGATGATTCATCGTACCTCGAGAGAGAGACAGAGAGAGAGGCGATCGCTACAGCCTGAGCTATAGCTGTATTTGTGGGTGCTTCATCACAGACAGCATTTAATGAACGCGGAAAAGTCGTGTCACTGCAATGCAAGGCCGTAGCCATGGAGTCAACATTGGGGGGGGACCAAATCTTCCAGGGGGTCTAGGGTCCCCCCCCCCAGAAAAAAATCTAAATTTTAAAACTAATTTCCTGCCTAAAATATTTAAAAATTCACGAACACATGGGATGGACTTTTTATTTATTTTTTACAATAATGTCTAATAGTGTATTACATTGCTCTGTTTTTCTCTTTCACCTTTTCTTGTTTCATTGTATGTAATGTCAGAGATTAGGGATTAATAAAGTACAACCATAACCACAATAATGTTAACATAAATCTATGCATTGTTATATGAAGACAAGTCCAGATATTGTGGCCAAGGTTTAGCAAATTGTTGTTTTTATTTACATAGCATAGCAATGATTTTTTTTATAGCAATATATTGGGGGGGACATTTTATATAGTATAATTACGGCCTTGCTTCAATGAACCCGGAATGATTCTACTTTGTCAGCTTTCCAGGGCACGCCCTTCACTGCCCTGTCTACCCACAGCCCTTAAACAGGCATTGCTATGCTAAACGTTTAATGTTGGAGGAAGAGTTTCATGAATATTTGCCAGTCCGTTCGTATCCTTTAACATTAGTAAATCTGAGTTACAATTCCTGCGTGTGACAATGACCTATCCCTGTACATTGTCGACAAGAAACACGCGCGCGTGTATTTTGTCTTAGCCTTTAAAATAAAACTGCGCGCAGGACGTTACTCGCTTATGAACTCAAACTATAAAGTCCAGGAGGAACAACGATGTTCACGGCGAGTTACGCCAGGCACGGACGTCACAACACCTGCACGGGCAGATAAACTAAGCAACAAACAGTAGAAGGGACTCGTGGGTTGGCGAGGCGAGGGCAAGCACGTAGTGTTGACTCTGCGCAACGCGACACGCCGTCCGGAACACGAGCAGAGAGGCTCGGCAGCTTTGTGTTCACCGCCGCTGACGTAAAGAGCGCGGCACGACGCGGCTGCAGCAGCCACGCGGCGGCGATGTCCGCCAGGTTGGGCGCCCTGCCCCACGCGTGCCCCCATCAAACCTCCCCCCATTGTACCAATTAGACATTAGAGTAATATACCGGTGGACGGTTGGCTTACTCGTTAAACAGGTACGGTGTGGGGCGGGGGGTGCGGAGAGTGGTAAGGGGCCACTCCGTGAGTTGTACGTACGTATGTTCAACTTCTTTCGCGCCGTACGTAGCCAAACGTCGTGCTGCGGGTGAAGGACAGCAAAGTTCCCAGAACACCCGAATTGGGCGCGCAGCAGCAGGACATTATTCCACGTGACTCGGGACAACACCGGACACAGATTCACGGCGGGCTGTGTTGAGCACGGTGAATTTGGCGCCGTCGGATAGGTGACTGGACCGGGACCGTTGACCCGTACATTCACGGGCATCCTTTTACACGGAGCGGTAACTCAGAGCGGGAACACAAGAGCTCAGCGGTGCAGGCTGAGATGTTTCTGACACGCACTGCAGCCCTCTGAGAGACAGCCCAGCCACGCAGCGATTGTGAAGCCAAGATCTCAAAGGTGCCCTTACATTGTCATCAGCTGTCCAAGAGACAACCAGTGCCAGGCCTTGAACCCATGACTCAGGTTCTGACTCTGCATTCACATGAGCATCAGCTTTCATAGAGATAGACCCAGGATCTGGGTTTGAACCCAGGTGCTCATAGGTGTTTGCTCACTGCCCTGACCCACACCTCATCCTTCTCCGAGACAACATCCAGCCGCCCGGTCACGCTGAGCGTCTGTTTGAGCATAACGTCCCTCGTGTGTCCACGTGCGTCACCATCTCTCTCCGCTCTCTCCGTCCCGTGTGTCTCTCTGCCCCCGTGTGAGTCACTCCACTCTCTCCGTCCCGTGTGACTCACTCCACTCTCTCCGTCCCCTGTGACTCACTCCACTCTCTCCGTCCCGTGTGTCTTTCTCCGCTCTCTCCGCCCCCGTGTGTCTCCACGCCTCTCCGGGCAGGTGTCTGCGGAGGAGCTGTCGCAGGCTCGGCTCAGGAGGGTGGACTCGAGCCGCAAGACGCGCACCTTCGGGAAGCAGCCGAGCACCAGCGACTACTACAAGTCGTTCAGCACGGAGCGCGACGAGCCGCTCAACGCCAGCGGCAATCACATGGAGCCGGAGCCCACGCCGGTGCTCAACGGAGAGGTAAACGCCGCGCACGCGCCGGCTCGCCGCTCCGCTCCGCCTGGGAAATTCACTTCTTTGTTTTTACGTTCTCCAACGCTTTCGTAAAAAGTTTCGTACAGATCTTTTGTCGGTTCATTGCCGAGTGAAAGCTGTCCTTGGGACGTGGGAATTTGTTTGACCGCACTTTGCCACGCTGGTCACTGTGGATTGGTGACCGGGGTGGCTCGGGATGGGTTCGGATATCACTCGCAGCTCACGTCAACTGTGGGTGGGATTCGATCTCGGGCCGCCACGTCCGTAGCGCGGTGCGCTAACCGCTGCATCGCTGCCCCACCCCAAGAGAAGTTCACCCGTTAACTATTCGGGTCGCGGGGGGTTATTCCACCATACGCCACCACGCTGGTCAGCGCGGGTCGGTGAATGCGGGGAGCATGGACGTGCAAGCGCAGGAGTAAGAGTCCAACAGCCGAGAGAGGGAGGGAAGAGGCCAGCAGGGCGAGCCGACGAAGGAGCCTGGGAACCACCCGCGAGTGGCACCTTGAAACCGACGCGGGATTGAATCGGGAGCCAGCGGAGGGATCGGAGCGTTGGGGAGAAGCCGCCTCGATTAGTGGTGCGGCCGAGGAGCCTGGCAGCGGCATTCTGGGACCTTTATGGAGTTTAAAGCCGACGGATTTGCGGAGGCCGTAGGGACGAACGCCACGATGGTCGCAGCGAGGGTGTGGAGAAGGCAAGAATGAAGCAGTCCGAGGCAAGAAAAAAGTGGAAAGCCGTACATTGGAATGTCCTGGCAGTGGCTACCCAGGAGGACAACCGCCCTTCCTGTGTGTTGTATGCTGAATTTCGAGGTCGGCTTGTTGAGAAGTCTTACAAGTGCTGAATGACTCATCCGCGCACTCTGCTACCCGGGCACAAGTCAGGCCCGTATTACCAACTTAACGTTGCGTTCAAAGAGCCAGCTTCCACTCTGGCGGATGTCCCTTTAAAATGAGCGGACGCGCTTCCTGACTCGCATGCAGCCTAGACCTTGAAACGGTAAACAGGCGCCCCCTGGAGAAAGGCCAATATTGATTGAGGGCGAGCGGGCGGGCGGGCAGGCGCAGCGATGATCACAGCGCTTTGACTGCCGGGCGTGATGGAGCCACCTGCTTCTCGAGCCCTCTCGTTGCGCTGTTTGTGACAACGCTGTTGCCACACTTCTGCCGCCAAGGCAAGGGGCAGGGGCAAGGCAAAGGGCAGGGCCAGCGGCATAGGCAAGGGCAGGGGGGCATTGGCAGGGACGAGCTGCCTCTCGGGCACGCCGTGTACGAGTGGCGCCCCGTCACGTGAGCCCGTGAATGATGGTGACTGGCGCTCGCCATCCCCGCGCGGCGTGAAAGGCGTTCGCGTCGTGACCTCTTAAATCTCGGCCGGCTGAACGGCGGTGGCGGGCGGCGAGAAGTGCTGACGGCGATAGTGGCGGCGGCGGCGGCGGCGACGATGATAAATCAGATGTATTATCGGCGAGCCCCTTGTTAAAGCAGCACCGAGTCACCTTAGCACGCCCGCGTGTCCCCCCCACGTTTTGCACTCTCTGCCTCCACCACGCTCAGCTCCTATCATTTAATTCGGGCGCCACGTTCATTTACCAACCACACGCGCTCCGTGTGAACAGAGCCCAGCTTGTTTTATTTCCGTCTGGCGGAGCCACGCTCTGAGGCCTGGCTTCAAACCACACACATCAGTCGACGGGACCTCTGGAAGTGTATGGGCTTCGTGGTGGCACCTATGTCAGTAAAAATGTCCCAATGGTTGTTTGTGGTTAATAGGTAATCTTGTGGGGTCTAATGTTGGTCTGTGGGTGCTATCTTAGTCTTGATTTTTATATTAATTTTCAGGGTTTGTTTGATACACATTGGCTACCAATGTAGAGCTGCTCATTTTTTTATTACAAACTGTTAATTAGTAATTTTCATTGAAACGTATCGGTATTATACAATGCTAATCTCAAACTACAAGTCGGTCAATCCCTAGGCTGCCTCGTCGCTGTGCCCTCACGAAGGGCCTTTGCCCAAGACGTCAGCCGAGGCCTGTCGTGATGACTCATCTCTGTAGCCGTTCGATGGATTGTCACCGTTCGGGTCGACGATTCAACCCAGGATTATTATTATTCTGTGCCACGTTTGTACTGTCTAGTTTGCATTGTTTAGAAATAAAAATCCTCTCATTTTTGCAGATTTCTTCACTCCATCCTTATTTCACATTTGCAGTGCCGTGCCACACTTCTTCTGTCCTAGGGACGTAAACCATCCCAATATGTTGTCCAGATATGAATACCACCTCCTTCGTTTGTCCACTGCACTGCCGGGCAGCTCACTTCTCTTTCTTTTCCCTTGCACTGCTACACTTTGGAACTCCCTACTCCAATCATCGCCTGTACCCATCTCGTATAACTAAATTCAAGAAACCTGTAAACTCTTTTAGAACTTTGACACATCCCAAGCGTTGACGTTTTAGGCCCTTGGGCCTGTTCCCAGCGACCGCGTTTCCATCTAACGTCGCCCGCCCCCGAACTCTCCGGTCACGCACAGGTTCGACGCCCGTCGCCTAACCTGCTCAGGACGTAAACGATCGATATTGGCTCCCGCGATTCGACGCACGTGTATCGCCCGCGTAGGGATCGATTGCGGTCTCCACGCCCGTTCCGTCGCCGTGCCGCTCGGTGAAACCCCGCGGCGGTGACGGCGTCTCTCTCTTCTTGCCCTCCCTCTCCGCCAGGACCACTCGGGCGAGGCGGAGACGCCCGAGTCGGAGATGCCGGAGCCGCCGTCGTCACCGGTGCCGGACCCCCTCCCCGCCGAGGACGAGGAGGGCCCCCCGGCACCGCCGCCCCCGCCGCCCGCGCCGCCCGCGCCTCCGCCCCCGCCGCCGCTGCCCCTCCCCGGCGAGCTGCCGCGGTACAGCGACGGCGACCACTCGCGGCCGCCCTCCGCTGCCTCCAGTGAGTGGTGGTGGTGGTGGCGGCGTGTCGACTCCCACCCGGTTTCCCCGTCCGCTGTTTTGTGCGTTGGGCGCGCGCTTGTTGGGTTGAAACGGTTGTGGGAACGAGCGGGCGGTCAGCTGGCTCGGCACCGCTGGGATCTTGCTCTCGAATCTGGGTTCCGGCCGCCCTAGGATCTTCACCGGGTTCTCAAGTGCAGCGAGTTGATGGTCTCAGGCCCCTTCCACCAATGACTCATGAATCTGCGCAGAGAACCACGTAGAGAGCGCTTACATCAAGACCCACTCGCTGCACGCTCAGATTGTAATAATTGGCGCGTTAAACGCTTCTACACGTGACGATTTCATTTTTTTGGCTATGTTGGGTGGTGGAGGGTCTTGACAACACAAAATAGGTCAGATAACACTCTTGCAATACAATTCAAAGAAAATAAACGGGAAATCCAGAAACTCGGCAGCTTCCATCCAAGGGCTGTTAGCGGCTCTCTCCGACCCTGCCAGAGAAGGACATTGCGTCACTGTGACGTGGCCAAAAGTTTCAGGCCACATCCTTTTTCAGCCGATCTGCTTTTTCCATGACCGAAACTCACAAGGGGCTCCCTCTCTCACCTGGCGAAACCGAGGGGAGTAAACCGCGTTGTGATTGACGTGGGACCGCGTCTCGTGCGTCTGTAGTCTCGTTTTGTAACATCACTGGAGCTGCTTGGGGACCTTTTGCGTGCCCAGTGAGACGAGTGGATCGGTGGCACAGCGGTTTGCGTGGCGGCTCTACGAAACCGTTAACCTGAGTTCGATTCCCCGGCCGCAGCTCGCACTGAGGGCGAGCGACATCCAAACCAATCCGGGGCCCCTCCACCACCCCCCCCCAACCCATCCCCCCACTTCAAGAAACTTCACTGAGCAGCATGGTAAAGTATCGTCTCCATATGGATGGAATGGCCCTCGTCATAGGAATGTGGATGTCCACCGCCGGCCCGTGATGGCCCAACGCCTTTTGACCTTGGCGAACGCGAGGGCCCGCTGCGGATCCCTCCACTCACCGCTCGAGAGATAAACCACGCGTCCCCGTGAGCGATATAATAAAGCATCTCCAGAGATAAACCACGAGAGGGCACGTGCCCCAGCCCCCCCCCCCCCCCCCCCCCCCCGGCGTGCGTGTTTTGATTCTCTCTGTAATGAAACCTCGCGCATTAACAATGCATGCAGGCCAGCCCCGTCGCGTCTGCTCAATAATTCATTGCTCCCCCAAGAATATTTAGCGGCGTTTAGAATCCCGTTTCCAGCGTCGACTCCGTAATAACGTGATCAAGACAAATTTGCACCCGCGCCCGGACAAATTCTCGCGACGTAGGTCTCTTAATAAGACGTGCGAGCGTTATGAAGAACAATGCGGAATATCGTCACTTTGTAGACACGTGTGTGTGTGTGTGTGCACCTGACATGGCATGAGCACCGTGGTGACATCACCGCCACTTAGTGATGATTTGCAGTTGTTATTGTTGTTGGAGTAGCAATGCAGCGGTTAGCGCACTGCGCTACAAAGCTTACGTCGATTGGACCTCAAATGAGTGCCTCGTGCGGTGTGTACAGCATCAGCCTTGGGTCGACATCAACGGCCGGGCGTGGTGTTGACTACCCACAGTCCCTTGCGTGCGGCCTTCGTAGGTGCTGCTCACTAGCAGCACTTGCCGCAACAGTCTCTCTTGCCTCGTCCCACAGAACGAGTCGAAGCTACTTTCACGGAAGTCTAACGTGTCACATCTTTTAATAGTGAATTAACCGAGCGCCCGTAAGGGAGTGCTTGCGCGTGCGAGAGGACATGGCTGCACTTGCTATAGACGCTCGCAAATGCCCCAGCAGTCTGCGATCCCAACGTGATGACCTTGCTCCTTCTGTGCGTCCGAATGCGTTGCGTGCGTCCGCCTCTGCGCGCGTTGGCCACAGAGAAGACGCCGCCGCGGCATTCGTTCCGCGAGCTTCTTCATCCCTTCCCCGCCTCCCCTTGCCGCTCCGTCCCTCCTCGTCGATCCGTCCACCTCGCGAAATCCGCCGCCCGCTCCACGCCCGGGCTCCTGTTTCCCCGGCTTCGTTTCCCTCGCTCATCCTTTGGCGCTAATCATTTTTTAATCGCGTTGCTGCCGACGGCACGTCCTATTGTTCCTTCGGCCAACGCCGCCGCCTCTCCCCCTGTCTCCCTCTCCCCCGTCCGTCCGTCCTTCTCACCAGCTCGCCCGCCCGCCCGCCCACCGCCGCCTCCGTGCCGATCTGGCCTCGCTCGCCACCACCGCCCCCCTCCCCAGACAAGATTTGCCGCGCCGCGCACGCTCCGTTCGCTCTCACCGTTGTTACTTTTATCTTCACCTTTTTCCCTTGTGCGCGCACGCCCGCCCGTCGCCCGTAAATGTGGGCGCACGGCGGCTTGTGACGGTTCATCCCCTGTTGGACGAGCGAGGAATGAGAAGTAAGTCGAACGCCGCCGCCGCATGGCGCTTGCGCCGTGCCGCGCTCACGGCTCCCAGGGGCTCCCGTGGCTCCTGGCGGCTCTCACGGTTGACGCGGCGCCCGTGGCCCACCGCGCCGCGGCTTCTTTGTGTCGGAGCTGTTGATGGTTCGGATGTCACCAGAACGTGGCGATGAATGTGGTGCGGCGCAACGCGCCGTGGACTCGCGTCGCGGCCTCTTAATGCAATGTGAGTCTGTGGGTCTCTACGTGTGTCTAGACCTCTCAATGTGAGTATGTGGGTCTCTACGTGAGTCTATAGACCTCTCAATGTGAGTCTGTGGGTCTCTACGTGAGTCTGTAGACGTCTCAGTGTGAGTCTGTGTGTCTCTACGTGAGTCTGTTGACGTCTCAGTGTGAGTCTGTGGGTCTCTACGTGAGTCTGTAGACGTCTCAATGTGAGTCTGTGGGTCTCTACGTGAGTCTGTTGACGTCTCAGTGTGAGTCTGTGGGTCTCTACGTGAGTCTGTAGACGTCTCAATGTGAGTCTGTGGGTCTCTACGTGAGTCTGTGGACCTCTCAATGTGAGTCTGTGGGTCTCTACGTGAGTCTGTGGACGTCTCAATCTGAGTCTGTGGGTCTCTTAATGAGTCTGTAGACCTCTCAATGTGAGACTGTGCGTCTCTACGTGAGTCTGTGGACCTCTCACTGTGAGTCTGTGGGTCTCTACGTGAGTCTGTAGACGTCTCAATGTGAGTCTGTGAGTCTCTACGTGAGTCTGTATACGTCTCAATGTGAGTCTGTGGGTCTCTACATGAGTTTGTAGACCTCTCAATGTGAGTCTGTGGGTCTCTACGTGAGTCTGTAGACGTCTCAATGTGAGTCTGTGGGTCTCTACGTGACTCTGTGGACGTCTCAATGTGAGTCTGTGGGTCTTTACGTGAGTCTGTAGACGTCTCAATGTGAGTCTGTAGGTCTCTACGTGTGTCTGTAGACCTCTCAATGTGAGTCTATTAGACGGCTTTCTTTTGAGCCTCGTCTCAATTGGTGCTAGACCAGAGGACGCCAAAAGGTGCCTTTTGGTGTAGACCAATCAGTTTCAAGGACAATGCATATATTATCAGAGTGTGTTTTTTGTTTGCATTTTGACCACAAGTATTGTGGTTAATGCACACATGATTCCTCGTAAAAAGATTTCAGTTTTGTTGCCAGAAAAAAGGGGAAACCCCCTATTATTAAATTAGTAAACGGCCAAGACAACGACTTTCTCTTGCACCTCTACGCAAAAGGACAACGTGACAGTCGCCGTGACAATCAACCCCCCAGTGCGCAGTGGCACACACCGACCTTTGACGATGCTGCCACGTAACTACAAGAAACACCCTCTTCACAAAGCGCATTTTGTCAATTAACGACATTGGATTAAAGCGGCTGCCTGCACGACTTTCAATTGTTCTCACAACCATAATTTTGAAACACGTCAGGGCTTTTCTCCCCCCCCCCCCCCCGGAGTGAGGCTTTGCACTGTGCCCCACGGCATTACGCTCGGGGCTGTCACCACCGCCGCCACCACTGCCACCACAACCACCGCCACCGCCACTACCGCCACCACCGCCACTACCGCCACACCACTACCGCCACTACCACCGCCACCACCACTACCACCACCACCGCCACTACCGCCACCACTGCCGCCACCACCACCGCCACCACCGCCGCTGCCACCACGTGCAGACTTAAGTGATCAATGGCCCACTTGAGCGATGGATTGCGCGCAGCCTAAGCCCCTAAACAGGATTTGGTTGTATTTCTTGTGACAGTGTTTAAGTCGTTACCGGCTACACAGGAGCCAGCAGTCCAGCACTCCCCGCTTGTAGACAGGCGCCCGCCGAGCTCGCGCTCGAGGCCGAGTGTAGTTTTTTACGCTCGGAGTGCATCCGCAACTCCCGACAGCTGGCATCGAGAGAGTTAAATGAGGAACTTCCGAGGGATTCTAAGTACAAGGGTTTGCTTTCACCGGAGGCTGCCTCGAGGGTGGTATATTTCGTTTCGACGGCGAAGCTCGCACCTAGGTGCTCTTGGCTGAGTCGATACACACACGTGGGATTTATAGTGCGGCCGCCTACGTTGGCAACGCCGACAAGTGAAGGAGATTTTAAAACTCGTGGAGCATTTCTCCTGATGGAACCGCGGGCAGGAAACCACGCGAGTCACCATTGAGGGTTGGAACGATTGGCGGCATAACAATTAAAGAAAACGCACGCTCTCTGTCCGCGCGTGTGTGCATACGCAATGACATTGCGAATAAATATACAATGAATTTGAGGAATTGCCCGTTATTGATTAGCACGGTTGGCTACGTAGGGTACCAAATAAGTTCGACATACGAACATTACCACCAACACTCAATGGGTAATTCCTCAAATGTATTTTTAAAAAGAGAAATTTGACCCGCATCCAGTACCCACAGGTCCTGTTTACAAACTTCACACCTTGCAGCCAGAGTATGTAAAACCATACGCACGGCCTGGCATTGTTATTAAACGTGCGATAACAACAGCAGGCGATCCTCCTTTCTTCGCCGTGGGGAGATGAGCGCTGTAGGTAACCTGACAGTTGCGGACCAACGTGACGCAACACACACGCACCGCGGATCTGTTTTCAGGCCTCTGTATTCTTTGCAAAAAAAACTTTCACCACACAATTGCTCTTGAACAAAACAAAAACCGAATGAAAGCGCTTCACAGCAGCGCCGCGGTTTTTTGAGGCCGGCAGGGGAGCGACGCTGAAGTGCTGTTAACGTGGAGAGCGCTCACCCAAGTGGCCGAGTCCACTTGGCGCGCACTTAATCCGATTAGCGCGCCCGCACGGACCCTCCGGCCCGCCCGCCCGCCCGCCCACCAGCTCCCCGGCGTCTTCTTCGCCGCAAATGCCTCCTCGGTGAAGGTGCGTCCTCTCCTCGCGCCGCTCGCCACCACCGCCCCTCGCTGTCCCCAACGCTGCCGGGCGTCATCGTCCTCGCCGCTCGTTCCACGACGGGACCAGCGGCGGCAGCGGAGGTGTTTGTTGTTGTTGTTGAGTCGGTGAATTTTTAGTTTCTGTGGTTTTTACCGCGCGGGCGTGCCGTACGGCTCACCCCCCCCCCCCCACCCTTTTATTTGGGGGGGGGGGGGGCGTGCCACGCGTTGTTCGGCACCGTTGTCCAACGTTTCGCTCCGCGAGCCAGCTCTTAAGTAGTCGCGTCGGACAGTCGTGGTCGTCGTGCCGGCTTCCCCCGTGTGGAGCTGTAGGGTTCCGTTTCTGCGGAGGGACGCCGCTTATAGTTTTGTCGGCGCGTAGCATTTGCGTTTTAAAGCCAAAACTCAGCTGCTTTATTCACGAGAGAAAGCCCTTTGAGCTGTTGACTCTTTTTTTCATAAGCGACCTGGCAACACATACTAGCTCATCGAAGTGGCTTCTATCATCATCGTCGTCATCATCGTCACATGCAGGAGTTGACAGCAGCGTGTTCATTTGATCCACGCGACCGCCACGGGGATAGCGAGAGAACACGCGCGGCCTCCAAATAGACGACAGGCATCGTCAGGGTCCGGGATTGAACCCACGCCCTCCTGCGAGGGAGATAAAATCTCTCTCTCGCCACCGCGGCGCCCATAGACGGCACGGTTCAGTGTCGTTGTCAACGTCAACGCGATCAATGCAGGGGGCTGTTCTCTATGCGGTTTGTCGTCCTTTTTAATGAACGTGTGTGTGTGTATTCCGTGGCTAATTTCTCCCGACAGCGCGATTCACGGATGCGTTGTGAAGTTGTAATGTCACCGGTGTGTGTTTGGTCGGGGGTTTACGGTGGTAACGTGCAAACGATTTAAATTCCACCCCGTGGAGAGATTACGTGGCGTGTAATCATTGCTTAAGCTTGGACATCAGAGGTGCTGCTTTCATGTTCATTAAACAAAGCGGTAAAAACCTAAAAGTTTCATCGAAACGCCGTTTAAAAATTTGCAGCTTTTTTTCCTCTTTGCATACAAAATAATTGTCATTGTTACCAGAGCTCACCAATGTGCTCACGTGAGGTGGTGGGATTGTGTAAGATTATTTTTCTTAGATTAACGTGTCGCTGACGTTAAAGACTTATCGTTCGATACTAAAATCACGGAATATTGCACTACATTCCAAGATTACTTTATGTGAATGATATCCTGCAGTTGAGTGTGTACTTTTACTAATGTTTGCCATAATTGACTGATATTTTGACCTCTCAACTGTCAATTTGTAGTGTATACGTGTGGGGAGCTGTCGTGTAGTGGTGAGCACACCCGCACTACAAACCCAGTAAACCCGAGTTCAATTCCTAACCATGGCAAACATCAGTGCCGGATATCCGAACGGGTTCCATGCCTCCCCTAGGCCTGACCCTGCCTAATGAGCACCTGGTGCAATGTTTAAACATTAGCACTGGGGGGACAAATGCAGCCAGGCCTGGTGTTGGCCGCTCACCCCTGTCGTGCGTTGCGGCAAATTTTATAGGTGCCCCCTCAGAAAACTTGCCCCAACCGCCTGTTTGTGTATGTGCAAAGTGCACATAGCCTGGCACGATCTCTGTAGTGACGTCACCGCGACTTAGCCGTGAATGGCGGTTGATGTGTCTGCCCTGAATGGAATAATTATGAATGTTGGCTCGTGGTAGCGTTATGTAAGAAGACTGATCCATTGGAGAACCCTGACACATTATTTGCGTGAAATATCTAACTGTAAGGTTTTATCGCTATCGAGATTGTTGGACATATTTATTTTGCTTATATAATATATTTACTTTCTCAATTTCAATGGTTGTCACAAGCATCTATGTTATGCTCTGCTGAGATATATTCTATACAGCATATTCGTTATTATTCCATCCCAAGTCTCCCCAGAGATGGAGACATCGACCTTAATTGTCCCTCACCGGCTTGTCAATGTAATTCATATCCAGACTATATACACGTGTGTGATTGTATGTGTGCGTTCACATGTATGCATGTATGTGGAGAGGGGTGGCGCAGTGGTTAGCGCGATGCGCTACCAGCGTTCGATTCCCGCTCATGGCCAACACCAGTGACGATTATCTGAACTGGCCCTGGGCCTCCCCTAGGTCGACTCAAGTATTTGGTGCGTTGTGTAAACATCGCTACTGGGGTGTTGGCCACCCACCCCCTCGTGAACCATGCTGGCCTTCATAGGTGCACGCTAACAGCACTTGCCCCAACGGTCTGTTAAGGTTATACGGGGGATCGTTGTCTAGTGTGTGTGTATGTGCATCTGCAAGTCATCTCAGTCAACTCTTGGCACCTGGGTTTGTCCCGTGACCTACCAGCAGCAAGCTCTCGACACTTCACGTGACCCGGAGTGCACTTGGCCTGGCACAAGCGCCGTGGCGAATGGTGGCTGTGTGTGTGTATGTGTGTCTCTGTCAAGGCGTCAAGTCGTTCAACATGCTCTCACCCAATGGGGACAACTCGGACCTGCTGGCGGAGATCAAGGCGGGCAGGAGCCTGAAGCCCACGCACCCCAGCAAGGGCTGCACCACGGTGTTCATCGGCTCCGCTCACCTGGTGAGGCTCCCCGCTCCTCACCTTCACGTCCCTGGTAGACGTGGTGTACGTGGTGTCCCCCTGTGTTGTGTGTAGAACAGTGCGCTACGAACCCGCCCACCCTAGTTCAATTCCCACTCACGACCGGTAAGAGTTGCGAACATTTGGACCGGTCCTGCGCCTCCTCCTAGGTCGATTCGCCCTTAAATTAGTGGTGCGGTGTATACATCAGCACTGGCGGGAGACAAAGGCGGCCGGGCGTGCGTGGTGTTGGCCTACTCACCCTCTCATGCGCCGTGCCGACCTTAATAGGTGCTCGCTAACAGCACTTGTCCTCAACGGTCTCTATGGGGGGGATCTTGTGTTTTGAGTCGACGGGCAAATCCGAACTCCGTGTGGGACTGTGCCTCTCCCCTCCCCAACGGCGCCGCAACAGAACCAGCGACCGACCAGCCCGGACTACCAGCCGCAGGGCGGCGCCGGCACGGACGGCACCAACGGCGACGGCGGCTTCTCTCACGGCGCCGCGGGCGGCGGCGGCGGCGGCAGCGGCAGCAGCGGCAGCAGCGGCGTCGGCGCGGGCGGCGCGGGCGACTCGCTGTCGCGCCTCGACTCGCTCGACGTGGACGCGCTGGTGCCGCTGCAGGACGAGCAGGGCCGGCCGATCCCCGAGTGGAAGCGGCAGGTGATGGTGCGCAAGCTGCAGACGCGCCTGCAGCAAGAGGAGGAGCAGCGGCGCCAGGTGCGGAAGCCGAACGCATTCTTTTGCCGCCGGCCCGTCCGGCCCGTGCGGCGTGCCCGTGTCTTTGCGCGGTGCGCCGTCGCGTGGAGCGATTCGGGCTTTGCGGTGTTCGCCGCGGAACGCGCCGTACGGAGGGCGGAGGGCGCCGTGGTCGGCGCACGTCCAGGGGTGGGGAGCGACGGTGCCGGGGTCGGCGTGCACCGCGCTACGAAGCCGGCGACACGAGTTCGATTCCCGCTCGCGACCACAGGCCGGCCGAGCGCGGCGTTGACCGCACCCGCCTCCTCGTGCGCCGTGCCGGCCTTAACGGGCGCTCGCTAGCAGCGCTTGCCCCAGCTGCCTGTTAGAGGCAATATACGGGGAGGGGTCTTTGTCTTTGGTCTGCATTGTGCCGCATGCTGTCCGTTGTGAGCCTTGTGTTGAGCGTGCTGCACTTTGTGTGACGCATGTCCCGTGTGTTGTGTGCCGTGCCGTGCCGTGTTTGCCGGTGGAGTGAGTTCCATGCAGCGGGGAGTGTAACCCGGAAAGCCTCAGCTGTTTCTTCGGTAACGCTGGGTTGTTGTGATTTGGCAAAGTGATGACTACGGCACACAGTCGAGAAAGTAGTATTAACGCCTATTAAAGCGTGAGCTGCTGTATACATTACAACTTGGTGCTCTGGTTCCCTCTCACTTGCAAACGTGACTCGGATAGGAACTGGCCCCAACATTCCGAGGCAAACCTCTCCTGACAAAGAATCTCGACAGTCACTCGGAGCCTTTCCTTGCTGCCAGAACAGCGCCGATATAGTGACCGTGCACTCTGCTTTCAAACGTTGAAACATTGAACATTTACCTGGAAAATCATTTGAGGTGGAACATCCCGTTTGCAAGGGTGCCCAGCGTCCGTTCCATTGAGACGCACAATCTTAACTGCAAGGAATATATATAATGTATGCCGCCGGTTACACGAAACGTCTTTGATTAAACTTTCCCCTTATTTTGTCGTTTCTAAAGCGGTGCAAATTAAGTGCGTAACAAAATACTTGAGGTTCCCTCCCCCCCCCCCCCCCCGCTAATCGATGACACCAGCTGCACTGAGTGCTTCACGGCGGTTCGAGTGGCCACACTCCAGCGTTGTTGTTGCCGTCGTCGCTTGAGCACGAGTGTGCGAGCCTTTGCAGTTGCCGTGCATCTCTCGCACTCGCGCGGCGTGCGTGGGCGCGCATCCTCCGCAGCGCGTCCACCGACGGCGCCAAATGTTTACGCTACCGTCTCCAGCAGCGGAGAGACCGTGGCTCGTGATGATGGCGATAAGGTCACGTTACAGCTCGGCCGACGGAACAGCGGGCTCTCGGCTGTTGGATGACGAGTTGCAATCCCGGCGAGGGTTAGTTCGGCCCCATCATCGCCTCTCCTGGGTTGCTAAAATGAGCACAGAATTGGCGAGGCACATCGCGCACGCTTATGCGGCCAAGCAGTGAGTGCGGCAAATCCGCGTGAGTCTGATCCCATCTCTGGTCGCGCTGTAAGCCCCGGGATTAAACCGCGTAATCCGGCGTCCGTGGACCCTGGTTCCCGTTCGGCGCCGCTGGGCCCCGTGTTACGTGAGCGGAAACAGCGCCCCCGATAAACCTGGCCGTGCGGCCCCCATTGACAAATCTCGCTCGCAGACTCAAAACGAGTGTTCTGTTGAGTACGTCGTGGGTGAGATTTATATTTTGAAATTAGCGCGTTTTTTCAACATCAAGGTCATTTACGTGGCGTACTAATTTTGTGCCAACGAAAGTGGCATTGCCCGATGCCACGTGCCGCCATCTTCGGCGGGGAGAGTGCAGACGTGACATCATGGAGGTGATGTCACTTCCTGTGACACATTCAGGTCAATCCAAATCTTTTTGACAGAGTGTCTTATCCAGGCCATATTGGTTACACGTCTCTATAAAACATCCCTGTAACTCGTGGTCCAGGGGCCATTGAACGCTTTCTGAATAATGTTGTCACTGAGCCAGCACTGCTTGGAAGCCTGGGTTCAAATCTGGGTTTAAACCACCCAGCAATGATCCAACCGAATTCTCAAGCGTGGCGACTTGATGGTCTCAGCCCGGTTACCAATTAGCGTGCGCAAAAACAAAACAAAACCCCATCAAACAAATTACTTTAGATTTTTCACTTTGTTTGCCAAACTTGGGAAATGGCAAAAAAAATGGCAGTTTGGCTGCATGCGGGAAAGCGCGTCCTTTCGTGCGCGGATACGAAAAAAAGGTCGCGGAAAGATTCTCGGAACCGGTTCTGTGAAGTCTCCTTCCACGGGGCCTTTTGACGTCGCCAGCGGCGTGATGCACTGCTCCGCCTCGCGCCGTGGTGCCGCTATCACAGTTTGACAAAAACACTTTCCGGAAAAAAGACTCGAAATAGAAGTAGAAGGGACAAAGAAAGAGCGCTCAACTGAATCTTTACGAACGAACGTGCCAACATCGAGAGCGCTCGGACGGTGTGGTGTCTGTTGTCCACTAGGCGGCGCTGTAGCCCCTAGAGACGTGAAAGTGGCAGCCCTTGCCCGTCGTGTCGACTGCTGTTGCCTCCTGTGAGTGGAGCTGCCTCCTGTTTGTCACTATGGCACCAGCCAGAGAGGCTGCGTCGCCTCTGTGCATTGACACGAGGGTCCGGGCTGCTCAGTCAGATCGGTGGCCCGAACCCATTCCCTTCCCTGCGCGTCGTGATTTATAAACCTAAATTGGTTCATAAGCCTAATTAGTTTACTAATTGGCCCGTGCTCACACGTTGCTTTTACCTAATTGGGATTTAAGAATGACAGCCGTTAATCCATTTAAAGATTACAAAACTATTCATCGTAAATAACCAACATATCCGATACAGAAATTTACCCAGTTAGACATTTTGGTCGTGATTTCCGGTTTCTGTTTTGGTGTGGGTTTTTTATTATCATTTTTTCTAGTGTGACGATTTTTTTATTTTCTACATAATTTGTGAACCGCATGCCGCGTTGTTGTGTGCCGTGAAAGCGCCGGTACACGCACAGAATTGAATGTTGCGCGTGCACTCGCTCGGTGCGCGGGACCATCATTTCCGCGTCTTTCTCGCATGCGCGTGCCGTGTACGCATGCCTCGACGGCGAGTCGTTAAAAGAAGAAGGCACGGTACGATGACGGGAGTAACCCAAAAGCCTGAACATTCCGTCTGTTGTCTCTTCCCCGCCGCAAGTTTGAGCAGTACGGCTTTTTCCAGCCAGAGAGCTGGACCTATTCCTCCAACCGCAACGCCATGCTGGGCCCTTTTGGCGAGCTGCTCACCGAGAAGGACATTGCGAGTCTGGAGAAGCAGATCGAGAGCCTGCAGCTCCTGAAGAACGTGCAGGAGGTGGAGACCAAGCTGGAGGTGCTGGAGCAGGAAATCCACCAGATGATCCTGCCGCCCACCGTGGAGGTCGCGGACAGCCGCTTCGCGACGGGCGCCGACTCCGTGCGGGCGCTGCCCGGCTGGTGCAGCCGCGTGTCGGGCCTCCTACGCAGCATGGCTTTCCTCGTCAGCAGCTTGGGCCACAAGGACATCGCGGGCCCCGAAGTCGGGCCCGCCGGTGCCCCGCCTGTCGCGGAAGCGCGGAGAGGCCTGGAGAACGGAGGCGCGCGCAGCAACGGCGGCGGCGGCGGCTTCGGCGGCGCCAAACGGCAGCGCGGCCCGGATGACTTCGGTGGCGCCGGCGATGGCGGCGTCGGGCAAGAGAGCCCGCGCGATGAGCCGTGCCCCGTCGCGTTGGAGGAAGCACGCGCGAGCGAGGAACGGAAGGCGAGCACGTCGGTGATCCGGACGCAGTCGTTCGGCTCTACCAGGGAGGAGGTAGAGTGGGAGATTCAGCAGTTCGGCGTCTCGGTCAAGATGCTCAAGTCCAACTTCGAGCCCGGCGCCATGAAGCCGGCGCCGGTCACGCGCAACGGCCAGGGTGGAGGCGGCGGCTGTGGAGGAGGAGAAGAAGGCAGACGTGCGGAAGCGCCACCCGGCGAGGCAGCTCAGCCGTCCGGGACGGAGGGACCGCCGCGGGCGCCGCTGCTGCCGGTGAAGAGCGTGGACGATGACGTGTGCCGCCTGGAGCTGGGCGGGGAGCTGCCGTCACCGCCGCCGTCGTCCGAGGGCGGCGTCGCGACCGCCGCGACGGAGGCGACGGTGCGCGAGTCGGTGGAGACGCGAAAGGTGCGCACGGTGCTGCTCTTCCTGGGCCACTGGAAGAAGGCCGTGTACTCGATGTCGTTCGGCGTGAAGGGCGACAGGCGGGGGGGGGGCTCCGGCGCGGCCTCCTCCTCCGGCACCGTCGTCGCAGCAGGCGACACGTTGGCGTACGCGGAGCTGGACGCCGCGGCCGCGGCGTCGTCGAGGACGGGCGAAGCGGAGCGCGAGCGCACAGAGGATGAGCGCCTCCTCTACTTCATGAGGCAGCGGCAGGTGGTGAACAAGCTCATCGGGCACTGGCGCCTCATCATCGCCCGCGTGCCCTCGCGCCAGATCCGCCACCTGAGCCGCGCGCCGGCCGCCTACTCCCCCGAGCAGTTCCTGCCGCACGTCAATGGGCGGCCGCCCGCCTACGACTCGCTGACTCTGGACCTCTTCATGCTCGGCTACTTCCAGCTGCTGGAGATGCCGATGCCGCGCGCGGAGCGCCGCGCCCGCCACCTCCTCTGCTTCGAGATGTTCGACCGCCTCGCGAGCCACCCGTGGGAGACGATCCGGGACTTCCACCGCGCCGTCGTCGCGGAGGTGTCGGGCGGGCGCCGCGACTGGCGCGACGGCTTCGAGGACGCCAAGCGGCGCTTTTTCGGCGACGCGGCTCGCCGGGCGTCGGCCGCGTCGAGCGGCGCCGGGTCCGGTCGCGACCGCGGCGACCCGGCAGCCGCCGGCGCCGACGCCGTGAACTGGGACTCGCGACGGGCGTCGGAAGTGAGCCTGCCGAGCTACTGCGGCAACACGCCCGCCGGCGACGGCGAGGAGCAGGGCGGCCGCTGCGGCGCGCGCCGGCGCTCCGACTCGGTGCAGGTGATCTCGGAGCTGGGCGAGTTCAGCAACGATGAGATCTGCCGCTACATCGACCGCAGCTTCTCCTTCTGGAAGGAGAAGGAGGCCGAGCTGTTCGACCTGTAGCACGCGCACGCCCCCCCGTGTCCCGTCACGTGCCGTCTACCTGTCGTGCCCCGCGTGTCGTGACGCGCAAGCGCGTTTGTGTCACGCCGCCGCATGCAAACCGTATTTATTTTGGTGACTTGGCGATGTTGATGCTGATTTGTGTTGTTTCTTTTTTACTACTACTACCTAGGAAAGCCTCTCTGGACCAAAGGTTCTTTATTCTCAGGAGGGTCCTGCACTAGGATGTTTGGCCAGCTCGATTAATGAGTATTTTGTATTGGGGGGGGTCATAGAAATACATTCCAGCAGCATCTTGTTGTCTTGTTGCACTGTCCTCTGTTGCCCAGACCGTAGCCCCGCAGCAGCCCCACAGCACCCGCCCAAGCATGGCGCAGATCAAGACTTGGCTCCCCAGAGGCTAGGAGATCAGGCACATTCGGGGTGATGTAATCATTTTTTTGCGTTCTTCGTTTACCATCTTATTTGCTTCGTGGGGAGTTTATTTGTTTAACAATAATGACACTAAAGCTCAGCGAGTCGAGTGAAGAGTTCTATTCCCATCATTGGCTAACTTATTTTTATATGTAAGCATGTTTTATTTCCTCTTGGGTAGGTGGGCAAAGGACACAGGGGGTGTGTGACACCCTGGGCCAGCACAAGCACCTCTAGTTTTAGTTTATTATTTAATAATTTCGAATAAAAACTAAAATCAAATAAATAGAAGAAGTCTGAGAGGATGTCCACGAAGAGATGGAGGGATGAAATCGCCTCTGCTTCAGGAGCTTGGCGGATTATTAATTATCAGAGCGGAGGGTTGCGAAAAGTGCCGGCAACTTGGTGGAAGCCTTCATCTGGTCGTGGAGTGACCGTGACTCATGGTGTCCGTTTGTTAACTTCTCCTACAACACGAATACATACATAAATGCTAAGAAGTGAAATTGATCTCAAGAAACAGCGGTCACGGTTGAAGCAATGTCGAGCGTCACAGACGAGGCCTTTCTTAGGCCTCGCCAACCCTGGAATCCACCTTCTGTTACCATCGTTTATTCCTTTACGATATTGCCATGATCCTGATGATGTTTAGTAAGAGACATTTAAAATGCCTCTTACTATTTGAAATGCCTCTCTTAAAATGCCTCTGCCCTATGAGTCTTTTATTGCTGAGGCCTATTGCAGGCTTCGTTGAGATTTTTGACACTGAAGAGTGGCATCGTAAAAAAAATACATATATTTTAGAAATATTTCTCCCACAATTACACAAATGACACTATGTAACACAATTTTTGCTCCTGGGTAGTAAGTGTTATTTCATAATTGCTTATGCCTAGAAAGTATGGAAAATCGCTATTCCCCACAAACCAGGACAGTGATATTTAGAAATGTACCTATTTTCAATGAGAAAACAGGTGACTTTGTGTCTTTTCGTTCACATAAAGTCAGAAAAAAAAACATAGGAATCAAAATTAACATGTATTTATACTAAAGTAATACAAAATGACTACAAAAGATTTAGAAGCGAGTAGTTTTTCGAGATTTACGATTATACTGTAAATCACTTTAACGAATCAGCCCCCAAATGTAGTCTCCCATCATGTTCTCGTTATACTGTCCTTGGTAGCAGCGTTCAAAATCCAGCATATCCTGGTGGAAGCGCTCATCTTGCTCCTCCGAGTACACTCCCATGTTCTCGAATTTATCAAGATGGGCATCAAGGATATGGACTTTGAGGGACATCCTACAGCCCATTGTGCCATAGTTCTTCACCAGAGTCTCAACCAGCTCCACGTAGTTTTCGACCTTGTGATTGCACAGGAAACCACGAACCACTGCGACAAAGCTGTTCCAAGGCACTTTCTCCTTACTAGTGAGCTTCTTGGGGAATTAATTGCACTCCAGGATCTTCTTTATCTGTAGTCTGACGAAGATACCGGCTTTGACCTTTGCCCTCAGACAGCTTAGGGACAAAGTCTTGAAGATGCTTGAAGACTGCCGACTCCTTATCTACAGCTCTGACAAATTGTTTCACAAGGCCCAATTTGATGTGCAAAGGTGGCATCGGCACCTTCGGGGGTCCACCAGTGGCTCCCACTTGACATTGATCCTCCCCACAGAGAACTCGGTCCGCTGTGGCCTGTCCCGCCTGTGGTAGTGCGCCTTGGTGTCTAAATCTTTCTTAGTCATTTTTGTATTACTTTAGTATAAATACATGTTAATTTAATTCACACGTTTTTTTTATTTTATGTGAATGAAAAGACACAAATTCACCCGTTTTCTCATTGAAAATAGGTACCTTTCTAAATTTCACTGTCCTGGTCACAAAAGCAAAGTTTGTGGGGAATAATAGCCATTTTCTGTACTTTTGAGGCAGAAGCAATTATGAAATAACACTTACTACCAAGGAACAAAAAAAATGTGTTACTCAGTGTGATCGTCCGGTCACAGTGGGTTTGTTACATTGCTTGGTAAAGAATAATATGCTGATCAACATACTCTTTGGGTCTTTCAGTAAAGTCACGTAGATAGAAAAATTATAAAATAATAAATAAATAATCTCGACGCTTCGATCGCAACACAAGCAGGCGGACTGCTGAAGCAGGAAGAAATATCGCCGATATTTGCTTGTGTTGCGATCGATTTATTATTATTTCATTATTTTTCGATCTCCGTGACTTTACCGAAAGACCCAAAGAGTATGAATTCCTGCAGTCACGAAAGCTTCAAGTCAAGATGCTGATAAACAACGAGTTTATTTTACGATTGACGGCGGTATAAATATTCTGTTTGTGGTGGGGTTTTTATTCGGTATTTATTGATTTGTAAAATGTCCCTATTAAACATCGCTCATAAGCATTCATTAATACCAGCACCAGGGTTACCCTGCACAAGTCCGTACTGTGCACATAATGGGGCAATTTAATATGGAACACTAAACTTAAAAAGAAAAGTTCTACCCAAAGTCCTTTGTATAGATACGACTAGAATCATGTCATAGGTCTACAGAAATTCAAACTTAAGGTCCTGCAGGATTTGTTTTTTATTCCACAAAAATTGTACATTTCACTCATGTCCTGCCTATGACATCCGAACGAACTGCACAGGACATGGCCGCACATACATTCAGCAGGAACTGCATTTGGCAGCAACTTTGGCACCGTCTCTGCAGCCGCGATGTTCGGATGAAGAATGGCCTGCAATCCCCACTCCTCTCTCCTCGCCTTGTCCATACACGTCCCGGTTTGCACTCTGGGATTCGCTCAATACATATTGATTCGCGGCTTGAAGATGGCAGCAGTTCGACAATTGGTCCCAGTCAGTCGGCACCAGTCAATCTGATCTATCTGTTGAAATGTGTTTTCTTGCTCTTCAGCTCAGGGCACGCGTTTTCTCATTCGTGAAACGTGGATTCCGGAAGAAAACGTTTTTTGTGGATTTTCTGGGTGCGTTGCTCACGTACGTGTGATACTTTTGTTTCGGAGTCTGGATGCAGAGTGATGGACAAAATTAATAGTTTGGTGGATGACGATACTTTGAGGCATGAAACATGGTCGTTGGAACACCGATGGAAACACAAGCATCGTGTTTATTGACACAAAAACACAATTTAACCATGATTTGCGAGTTATGTTTAATACCCCAGTCTCTTATAACTAAAGTGTAATATTAACAATTACAGTACACACTTTAAAATGTCAAGCGTAATTATATTAACTTTTTTTTAAGTGTCGGTCACTTTTTTTTAAGAGTAAAAAAAAATACCTAAAATGTCGCATTATTTGTCACTGGGAACATGCCCCAAAAGAAGACGTCTTCCCTTTCAAATCCGGGGCCTCTATGATAGCGGGCGAGAGGCCCTCTGGCGCGGGACGTCGTTCACCAAGGGGGAGTCGAGTCCCGGGCCTCCAACGCGGCGGGTAATCGCCGTGGACGGTGGCTGCTGCCCACCAGAGACCGACCGCCGCTGTCAGGGCTGTATCTGTACACAACCACCACCACCACCCTCCCCCCCGCCATGTAAACCGCCCCCCGACGTGACAATAAATTTCATTGTGAAAATCGGGGGTATCCGTCACTTATTTATACATTTTATTATCACCATCAATAATTCACGTCCCTATGACTTATTGATTCATTTGCCCGGGCAAACGGGGCTGCTCTAGCCACGCAGGGCTCTAATTAATATTTCATCAGCCCCCCCCCCCCGGGTGTCGGGTGACTTCTGTCCCAGGATGCTTGCCCCCTTTCGCTTCGCCGAGCCGCCCGCGCGATCAAATGGCTCCCTCGCTGTCGGAGTTGCTGGCGTCTCTTCCCCGTCGCGGTCGCGTCGCCCGACATCACCCGGCGACGGACCGAGAGAGAACGCAAAACCTGAGCTTGCCTTTTTGTTTTACATTTTGATTTCTCGCGGACGCGCGAGTCTGGGCCGTCGCCGAATAATTGAAGAGCCGTGCCGTGGCGAGCGGAGGGGATCGGGCGCCGCGTCGGAGGCCCTCTCGGCCGCCAGCTAACGACGGCCCCGTACCCTTTGTCGCTCTCGCTTGTGCCGCAGGTGGTGGAGGAGGCGGAGCGGCTGGCGAACCTGCCGGCGTGGAGGCGCGAGATCGTGCGGAAAAAGCTGGAGGATGAGAAGTACGTGCCTCGTCTCGTGGGCTGCACCGCACCGAGCGAGCGTGTGTGTGTGTGTGAACACGTGTGTGTGCGTACACGTGAGAGTACGTGTGTGTGTGTACACGTGAGCGTGCATGTGGGGAGCAGTGGCTGGTGCATTGCACTAACAATTGGAGTTCAATTCACATCAGTGACGCGTCTCTGACCCAGTTGTAGGCCTCCCGTAAGGTGCCTCAGGCTTAAATTGGCACTTGGTGCGATGCGTAAACGCCAGCACTGGGGAGACAAAGGTGGCCGGGAGTGGTGCTTACCCGGCCCCCACCGCTGCCTCGTGCGCTGTGGCGGCCTTCATAGGTGCTCGCTAACAGCACCTGGCGTGGGGGATCTTGCGGCGTCGAGTCCGCTCCACGGTTTACTCGCCGCTGGGTGGCTAGGGCAGGTGGTTGAGCAGGTGAAAGTGTGCGCCGTCTTGTCGCTACCCGCCATCCCTCCCACCGCCACGGGGTGTGTCCTGTAACAAAGCTCGGACCCGGCGCAGGGCGGTGCATTGTGTGCGCGTTACGCGCGTGCGTGATGTATCGTGCGTGTGATATGCGCCTTGTGTCGCTGTGGGCGCCTTTCACCCTGGGTGATAACGCCCGGTGACCCTGGGCCTTCCAAAGAGGAGTGGATTGATTTGTCTTTCTTTTCGTGAATCGTTGGACGTTTACCCGAGTTAAAATGTTAACATGAATGCTGTTTAGTCGCAAAATCGGCCCGTGTATTTAAATGGAGAGTAGAATTTTGCTGAATGAATCCGCCGCGCAGACGCGATGGCACTGTCCGCAGTCCACAGCGGGCGTCGTTCTCACTTCGTGTTCTTGTACGCGGTCGTTTTTACTCTCGACTTGATTTTGTTTTTTTACCAAGTGAGAACTTGCGAGCAGGATGAGTCAGTCGCGTTTGAAAGAGTGACCTGGCTTGGTCTGTTAGTTGTACGACACGTCCCTTGTTACTCATTCGTTCTCTTATCTGTTCTCACTTTCAGGGAGAAAAAAAGGTAAGCCCCTGTGCCCCCCCCCACCCACCCACTTGTACCGTCCTTGCTCACCTCGCTCACCTTGATGCTCTGATTGCTGTTGTCGGTAATTGTATGGAAATCCGCTCAACACAAATCGTACGCCGGCCAGCTGACTGGTAATGACTGGATTTCATATTTGGTAGAAGTGATCTGTCGGGTTTATTGGTGTTGATTCGTGTTCCATGATTCGATGGCGGTAATGATGGCATTGGCAATCTGGCATGTTAGATGGTGACATGATAATATTCAGTATTTGATGGGATGATAGTCGATGATTGACAATAATTAGACGCTAGGCTAATTATTTGGTGATGTTTTGTGTGCTATGGAGGAGGGCCACGAAGTTTTATTGACGAACACGTTGAGTTTAATTGTGTTATGTTCACGTTATAAAGTAGATGCTTTGGTGAACTGGATAAGATGTTAATTAATAATAATAAGAGGGATTTTGAGAAAGTAGTGACAAATCCTGTTGTTTTAAAATAAAATGTTACAGTCAATGTTTGTGGACGATAATGATGATTACAGTGATATTCATTACAATGAGGATTAATTATGTTTTTTGACAGTTTGCTCAATCTTTGCTGTTGTTTGACTTTACAGTTGTTAAGTTTAACAGCCTCATGTTCAATACTTGATGATGATTTAGATGACGTGATCATTTCAAGAACAGCGATGAAGGAGTTTGACGGTACGATGGTGGTGACGCCTATAACTTGATGATGATGATCAGGGTGATGACGACGATGATGGAGACAATGATTGTGACGACGTGAATAGTACCGACGGTGATCGTGGCGATGATTCCTAGAATGGAGGAGGAGATCGAGCGTCAGAAGCAGGAGGACATGCAGCGCCTACAGTCGGAGCGCATCCAGCAGCTGGGCTACGACGAGGAGAAGCTGGCCCCGTGGCAACGCCAGCTCATCCTGCGCAAGGGCGACATCACCAAAAACTAGCGCGGCTCGGCGTACGCGCGCACGCACGCACGCGGCACAACGCTGCCCGTTGCGTTCCGTAAGGGGGGGGGGGGGTCGCCGGTCGGGTGGGCATGACGTGCGTCCTTCCCACGCTGACGAAGACGACGACGACACTAACGATGACGACACTAATGATGACGACACTAACGATGACGACGCTGACGACGACGACGGGAAAGAGAGAGAGAGAGGTGCGCCCACACGTGGGTTCCGTTCGACCAGGGGAAGCTCGTCGAGTGTGGGTTTGGCACGGTTGCCGTCACGCGGCTCTTTGTGGCAAACGAGGGGGTTTTTCTCGGCCTCACTCTTTGGGTGACGTTCGATGGAACGGAGATAGCGGTGCCGTCTGCCCATGAGCGGCGCATCTTGGTCATCGGGGGCTACGGTTAACGCCGCCGCTCCTGACGGCAGGCGGGGATCGTCCCGAGGTGCGCGAGTGCGGTCACGGCGGCGGCTCGCGGCGTTCTGACGGCGGCGTGGCACTTCGGCTGCGCCGCGGGCACACGGCGACACAAGCTCGACGCGGCGGTCGTCATCGTCGGAAGTGAACGTCCATGGGGGATAATATTCTGCTGTCGTATGAAAGTAGCAACGTTTAGAATGGGCATGTCGAGTGTAGCTATCCGGGTGTGAGATAGTGCGTGCATGCGTGCCTGGCAGTCGCCCGTAGGAAAGAAAAGTGGTGTTCAGGTGCTCGTCCCATGATTATGACTTTAGACGTACGTGCGTTTGTGTTGAATACACATCACGCATGTGAGTGCGTGTGTGTGCAAATGGGGGGTCTTTGTGTCAGAAGTACATGACGGTAGTACGCATACATCATAAGATAAACAAAACTTCCTTATTACAGCCAGATAATTCTATGTATAGTTTAAGAGCCGTGTGAAGATGTGTTCACGTTTACGATGGTTATTATTGATCCTGTGTAGTTTGTTTCACAGTCGAGGGCGATGTTTGTCACCAGTCGAGCCCTGTGCTGGTGTTTCGGTGATGCCTCGACACCCGTCATGCTACTTTCGAGCTGTTGAGTAATTTTAACGCAAATTGAGCGACTGGAGCGGTTAAACCATGACCACGTTGTAACTCGAGAACTCGAGTCTTATAATTTTATGAGCAAACCATCCAATCTCTAACCTAAGTTACGTAATTTTTTGCCAACTCCTTTATCCGATTTTAATTCTTAAACGACGTGCACGGAGATGAAATATGCTTTATTTTTAACAAGCGCTCGCTCGATGAACAGAAACGCATTTAAACTAAAACACAATTAGACGTGTCCGGTGAACGTCTCCTGCGCGTCGCCACGCGTAGCTTCGCGTCTGTCAAGGACGAGAAAGGCGACCGTCGATGCGGCTCGAGACATTTTCGACCGTCCCGCGCAGCCACGCCCCCGACGCGTCACAAGCGGGTCGCGCGTCATCATGACGGGGCGCGCTCCGATTGGCTAAGAGAGGAGGGCGCCCCGAGGGAGGATCGCTCACGCGGCTGTGGCTCTGAAACCCGAGCTGGGGGTTTGAAACGTTTAAAAACGTACACTTTAGTCGTTGAAATACTTCCAATGTATTGCCATATTGAAAATGAACTTAACTACATCGACTGTGATTATTACATGGAATATGCTAGCGGCCGTTTTAACTGTAGAGTCGTCGTCTAAACAGTATTTGTATTAACATTGGCCAATACCAGGATGGTGACGGTGCGTAGCTGAGAGATAAACCAAGGGGGTACTCGTCAACCGCGTCGCCCAAGTTTCGCCTCCAAATCGTTTGTGCAATTTAGCTCGATCACCCATCCCACCCCTTCCCCGCGCCGTGTCACTCACACTTGCATCACCTCGCTCCCCGTGTTCCACCGAACTGGAAAGCATTGGGATTGCTTCTGACCGCGCTCCACCACTCAATAAAGTCGACCGCTGAGGTTATTTCCTAGAAACCCCCCTCTTGTCGCGAAATCGTATCTTCATAATACTATTATTAAAAAAATAACAATCTATGCCTCGAGTTTATTGGCTGGCTGCTCGCTGGGCTCCTCTCCACCCAGCAGTAATGCTGCTGCTGCGGGCCGTGGCGAATGACGACGACGACGCTGCACCAGAGCTGGCCTCGACCCGAGCGGTTCTCCTGGGAAGCGGTGGGGCTTGCGAGCGTCCGTCTGCGGGAGAAAGTGCTGGAACAGGGCAAGAATCCTGCAGCGGAATGATTGATACGTTTGATTAATTTTGCAGCCCCATATGGAGAAATTTGATGCGGATTTGCCCAATTCAAAATGTCACTGCTCGATCAGAGACACCTATTCAAAATATATTTGGGAAAAACCACGCCCAATTCCTCCATGTCTGGGTGTGGACTATGCACACGATGTATCATCCATTCTGTCGAGGGATTCGTCGTCCTGTGACAGCGCTGATGATGCAACCACTGCCATCCCATTTCTAATTTCCGAATGAAATCCAACCTGCACGACGCGCTATCAATTCGAGACTGGAAACCCCGAGGTGGAATTTCTCTCCTCTTCAACCTGAACCCGCTTGTGGGTTACTCCCCGCTGGTTGTCCGATTCGCATGGATCACGATTACAGGGCACAATTCACATCCGTCGGTCTGTGTCTCGAGAGTTGTCAGTGTGTGGCTGTGGGGGACTCCACAAAAATGGGACTCAAAGGCGGACTGACGGAAAGTAGCCAATTGGTGACTACACCGTGCTGATGAGTCTTATCAGTCGGCCACATTCGCTCTGATCTACCTTGATGGTGATTCGAGACAAAATAAAGGACCACAATGCACTGCTCCAGGAAATCCTGATTTATTTTTGTTGCATGTGCACAATGGCCGGTGTCCTTGATCATAATGCGGTTGTATTATTACTGGGTTTTCTGGTCGTTTACGGAGTAAATTAGTTTTAGCAACATTTGTGTATCTTTGTTAAGTCATCCATTGCAAAAATAAGGAAAATAGACGATGTTGAGAAATGCCATTTATTGAAGCAATCTTTTAAAACGTGGTGCATTCACATTTTAAGTTTGGTAGAATGCATCTAACTCCTTAACCGCCGACTCGCAGGGGGGAAGCAATCACCCCAACAAACAAAATCAACATCACTACCGACGATTCCACACATTTCTACACTCGTGGCAGCGGATTCTCGTGGCACGTAGTTGGGGGCCCTTAAATGCAAAATTCGCTCAAGGTGATTTGGTTTCCCAATGGCTCACAAATGTTCTAAACCTTGGGCACGGGCTGACGCTCATCGCACGTGGACATCCGACCACCACTCGCCCAAGTGGAAGCGACAGCAGCTGTAAGCGCATCATCCCCCACGGCTCGCGGTCGTGATCCGGCGACTCGAGAGGCAAGGATCGGGCAGCAGAACTGTGGAAACAAACATCCACCTCCACCCGAGGGGAGGGTAGGGGGGCAGTACGGCAGGCGTGGTCGTGCCATCCACCCGGGCAGAGCTTGCCAGCGTAATTACCCCACGCGGTGTGCGAGTGGGGAGAGCCCGCAAGTGAAACGAGCGCTCCTCGATGGCAATTGGCCCAACACCCTCAGACAAGACCCTCCTGAGAGTGAGTCCCGAGGCTGCTCTCGTTGTGGATGAAGAACACGCAGCCATGAATTAAGGCTTCAGCTGCGTGGAACACGCGAGGCGGGCGGGTTTCAATACATTCAGAGTCGACGGAAAACCGCACCTAAGCTAATCCCAGCAATTATTATTAAAGGCAAATAAATAAAATGCATATTTTTATCTGTGGAACAAAAAAATTCTGGTAGCAGTTTTATCAACAATGAGAATGTTTTTTAAAAAATTGTTCCGAAAGCTCAAGCAGTGACAACCCAGAATTCAACACATTTCCACACCCCTGCCTAAATCGCCCACAGCACATGGTACATTCCACACTGAACAGACTCTGTTAAAATCGGAGCAAACCACTCCACTTGGGAGGGGTGAACTGGCACGTAGACAAAGTCAGCTCAGAGTTAGTGGTAACTTTGACGCATTGTTCATCCCACAGGCTTTCCCAACAGTTGGGGGTTGACGTCTAAGTCATTAACGACCTTTATTCACAATATATATAGTTCATAATTAACCGAAGACATGTTCCTGCCCAAAGCGTATTGCAAATATGTTGCATTTACAGAAATGCGATTATTCTGCCACTTGCCTCTGCGGTCGGGTGAACTCACAATCAGAAGGGTGCACGTTCAATTCCTGGTTGAGGATTGAGTCATCATCTCTTCAGGGTCGATAAAAACGGGTACCACTTTACGGGGACGTCAAAGGACTGGGATTCCCACCCACTACTAGCTCAGGCGCTGTAAACAGATGAGCACCGACCACCTCATGCTCATTTCAGCAGGAAATCGTCTTCATAATGATTGTGTGAGCGCAGGGTTAAGTATCACGTACAATATTACAACTCGCAAGCATCAGTGCATTTCCGAGACCAGTCGAAGCCACCCCTCCAACCAGCGCTCTCTTTACAGTCAACAGCACAAAATATACAAATAAGACCTCGTGAGGCTTCTTAAAGAGGAAGCGTCGAAAGTAAAATGCAACATTGAAATGGATGGTGTCGTGTGGACGTTGGCCTTGTTTAGCACGGCAGGTAGCCACCCGTGCCGATCGGAGGTGAGGCGGGGGAAGGGAACCTGAACACAATGTGGCATTGTTACATTGTAATTAAATAACAGTCTAAGCATCTCACTTCAACTGTGTTTGTGCACGCGTGTGTAGGTGTGTGTGTGGGGAGCGGTATTGTAGCGGTTAGCGCTACGCTGCGCTACGAACCCGGCGACCCGGGTTCGATTCCCGCTCACGGCCAACACCGGTGACGATTATCTGAACCGGTCCTGGACCTCCCCGAGGTCCACTGGGGAGACAAAGGCGGCCGGGCGTGTTGTTGGCCACACACCTCGTGTGCCGTGCTGATCTTTATAGGTGCTCGCTAACGGCACTTGCCCCTACCGCCTATGAAGGCTATACGGGGGGTCTTTGTGTGTGTGCATGTGGTCGTGTCGTGATGAGCGGCACTGCTGCGTGACCAACCCAGCCAGGAGTAACCCGCTTTATAGATTCCCAGCCAGGGCTCGTGGGACTTCAATGAGCACTGTAGCTGGTGCCAGTGTATACTCGTCACCAGTGGGGAGACAAAGGTGGCCAGGAATGGTGCTGGCCACATCACCACCTTCTACACTGTCGGCCCTAATTAGTCTAATCGCACTTGCCAGTATGGTCGAGTGAGGCTTACAAAGAATGCAGTCGTAGTTTTGTGTTTGTATGTATATGGACACGTGTGTGTACAAGTGGACTGTCCACTTGTACACACACGCGTTCATATCATCATCTCAGTCAGTCGACCCGTGGCACCTGGGTCTGCCCTGTGACATTCCTACCAGCGGGCGTTCAACACTTCACGTGGCCTCAAGGTGCACATGGCCTGGCACAAGCGTCATGGTGACGTCACCGCCACTTAGTGGCAAATGGCGGTTGTTGTACAAGTGGCTTCAACGTGTCACGTGACTTCAGAGCGCACCCAGCTCGTGGTGCCGTCGTTACTGCGGAAGCGCCAACTGCATGGATCTGTGTGCATTCACTTGGGCACTTGCCTTCCCCACTAGTCTGTTAAAAGCTAATTGGTGGAACTTATGTGTGTGTATGTGTGTGTGTATATGTGTGTGTGTGTGGTGAGCGGGCCCGGGTAAAACTACGTGGCCGGGAGTCGGAGCCTTTCCCTGTACACCTTGGGGTGCGACAGGGATGTCCTCTGGCTCCCACATTATTTAACATCTATTTTGACCGCGTAGTTCGTGAAGCCTTCAATAGCTGTACCGGGGGAATTTCCGTTTGGTACAGATATAATGGGAGGCTGATCGACGCCCGGGTGCGATCAAGGGATGGCTCCCTATTGGTCAACCACGTTATGTATGCCGATGATTTGGTAATAGCTGCTCATTCAGAAGAGGAGTTGGAGGCGCTGCTGCTGAGACTGGAGCGTGCCACTAAGAGGTGGGGCCTTACCATCAGCCCCACCAAAACCAAGCACCTGCCTGGGTATTTTGTACCATCGGACACTCCACCCCCACAACTCCCAATTGGTGATGGGGCAGTTGTGGAGAGAGTGGAGAGTTTCCCATACCTGGGCAGTGTGCTTATGACCGGCTCCAGTCTATCAGCAGAGGTCTCACTCCGAATCAGTCGAGCGGCAATATCTTTTCATCGGTTGCGTAACGCTGTGTGGAAGCTACCTGGTCTGTCGCTCCGCACGAAGCTTCAGGTCTTCTCGGCCACGGTCATTCCCTCCCTTCTCTACGCTTGCGAGACGTGGACCCCCCTGGTGGAGCATCTTCGCCGGTTGGAAACATTTAGGCTGGCCTGCCTACGATCCATCCTGGGTTTAACCAGGCTGGATTGTGTGAGGAGCTCACAAATCCTTGAAAGATCTGGGCAAAGTCCCATCAGTGAGCTCCTCCGGCAGGCAAGGCTGCGTTGGCTGGGTCATGTAGCCCGCATGCCCAGCCACCGCATGCCTAAACAGCTTTTGTTCGGCCGGATCGAGGGGGCTAGACGGGCGCGGCACGGGCTGGAGAAGAGATGGAGTGATGTGGTACAGGAGGACGTGGAGCTGAGTGGACTTGCCGATGACTGGTACCAGCGGTGTCAAGATCGGCCTCAGTGGAGGAGGCTCGTGAAGGACGCTACTGGGCAGTTGGAGGCAGTCGCCCTCCAACAACAACGGAGGGCGGAGGAGCGACGCTCACAACAACGAGCGGAGCGCCGGGTGGCTAAAGCACAGCAAGTTGGCACAGTAGGGGGCACAGGTGGTGCATCAGCCAGTCATCTCGGTCATCTCGGTCAGTCGACCAGTGGCACCTGGGTCTGCCCCGTGACCTCCTGCCAGCGGGCTTTCGACACTTCACGTGGCCTCAAGGTGCACTTGGCCTGGCACAAGCATCGTGGTGACGTCACCGCCACTTAGTGGCGAATGGCGGTTGTTGTTGTTGTTGTTGTGTATATATGTGTGTGTGTGTAAATGTGTTTGCAGAGACGTCCCGAGGGGTGACCGCCCCGGGCCCCTCGCTTTGGGGAGCACAGCGCTTCGACGTCACGGTGTCAGATGTAATACTTCCAGTTTAGTTTGAAGTGGGATTTGCCCCAGGCCTCTCACCCCCCCCCCCCCCCCCCCCAATGGCCGGCGCTCTTTACATGCATGTCTACACGTGTGCGTGTGCAAAATTGATCTGATCACTTTGAGGTTTCATAAAATAACGTTCCAGGAGCACCGCCGGTTTAAAAAAAACACTGAAACCATTTTTGCTCCTTCGGCTGAGAATTCCTCCGAATGTCAAGCGTCCTTATCCGCCCCCTCGACGTCACGGGCGACGCCAACGCCGGCGTTGATCGGGGCCGTCCGGCACCGACACGGTGGAAGCGGCGCGGGGCGAGGGTGGCGACAACACCGCGGCCGTCGAGACCCTCGCTGGCAGTGCCAGGCTAGGTGCAGGCGTCACACGACGGTCTCGATGCCCATGAGGCGCTCGAGACGCCGCAGGTTGCTCTTGATGGTGTCATCGTTGGTGATCTCCCGCACGCACTGGGTCGGGAACCAGCCCCGCTCGCCGTCGCGCAGGCGCTCGCCCTCGTACCAGCCCGACTCGCCGTCTGGGGCGCCGACGCACGCACGCAGGCAGGCACACGCAGGCAGGCACACGCAGGCACACGCAGGCAGGCACACGCAGGCACACGCAGGCACACACATGCACGTGAATACGAATACGCGCATGCACGTGGGTAAGGGTACTCGTGGGGGAGGAGTTGGTCATTGCTGACATTTGCAGGGAGGTGAGGAGTCAGGCGACGGCAAGTGGGGATCAGAGGTCAGTTGGCCACGAGCAGGAAAATAATTCCCCTCCCCCACCCACGCGGCTAGCTGCGTCGGTGTGCACGGTCGTGCTGCTGCACGGCTTTCCGCGCATCGTTAGGCACGATGTCCGACGTTGAACTCCACGTGCTTGGGAACTTCAGAATTCGGTTTCCGGAGAGAAATTTGATCGATAATCGGGACACCCCCCCCCCCCCCCCACCCAATTACATCAATGATAGACAACAATTACAATTTTCAGAAATCGTCAAGTAAATCGATTCGCAAAACACACGGCCGCGGCACCACGGTCCTCGGTGGGGGCCTTGTGCCAGGGCCTGGCTCCGGCACGCCGCCGGGCCCCGGCCGCTGGGCCCCGGCCGCCGCCGCTCCCTCGTGGTGGTGGCGAGGTGGGGGGGGCGACACTCACTGTCGAGGACCTTCTGGAAGACGATGGCGACGTCGGTGCTCTGCAGGCTCAGCTCGTCAGGGTGCTTGGCTCCGTACGTCTTGACGGCCTCCACCTGCGGGCGGCCTGTGTGGGTGGCGTCGCAGTCACAGGGGCGGCGGCGCCGCTCAGGCCAGCGCTCGGAGCCACGGCTCGGACAGAGAGAGAGCGCGCCCCGGTGGCCGCCGATACGCGCGTCGCCGAACCGGACGTGAGAGATCAACGACGATTTTGATATTTTACCGGGTAAGGCCCAATGAGCTCTTTTTTAGAAGCGACGTGGCTATCACAAATGATAGCTCAACGAAGTAGCTCATCACGTGGAAATACTCTAAAAGCGCGGTGACATGGATTCTAAATGTGGAGGGAAAAAGCAGAGGACCCCGAGATAAGTCCACCCGACCACGGATAAAGAGACACACAAACTCCAAATATATAGCAGGCGACGGGGTTGGAACCAAACCCACGACCTCCCGTATACCAGGCGCGGTAGTTAACATCTCGCCACCGTAGCTCCTGAACCAGACGTAGACCGTGCAGCGCAAAAGGTTAACAAATGGCATGAGGTAGCGTCGAGCATTTATCGGGATGGAAAAACCCAGAGTTGTATGTACAAGTACGTTTTAAGGGAGAATAAATAAACATTTTTGGATGGATATGAATTAAGGTGGCAGGCGTAACGATGCGCCGACTGTCCGTAGAGAAGCGCCGAGAGACCGATCGCTCTCAGTTATGGTTTCGTGCCTGCGATGGCTACGCATGCCACCCTGCACTTCAGATTCCGAGTTGTGACGATTAATGTAACAACGGAAGGGGGACGGATGAATCGGTGGTGCGTTCTCCGTACTCTCCAGCTCCTTGGTCTTGCGCACGAGGTCCGGCTCCTCCTGCCGGCTCTCCCGGATGCCGGTGATCCACCGCGCCCGGTCACTCCTAGTGGGCAGAGGTCACCGGCAAAGCAACGGAGACAGGCAAACGCATTCAGGGCACCGGCTGGCACGCCAAGCGCCGCTGGCGCCGGTCGGCGCCTACGTGAGCGATGACCGTGAGTGGACGCAGATTCACTGCCCAGCTGTGCACAGTAAGTGGCACAGCCAACCAATGGCAACTGGGCCTGTCACTTCACGTGGCCTCAAGGTGCACTGGGCCTGGCACAGGCACCATGGTGACGTATCCGTCACTTGGTGGAGAATGGTGGGTGTTGGTATCGGATGCCTGGAGAGAGGCGAAGCCTGGTTCAGTGTGAGACTCAAGAGCAGGCACCCTCCCCGCTGGGTGTCTAAGTCGTAACGCCCTCCCCTCTGCAAGTTAAGATTTGTTCATTTTACAAAGTGAGCTAGCGAGCGCGTAAATGTGGGGGGGGTGGGTCGCGTAGTGAGATTCCCGCTCGGCGAACATCAGCGACGAATATCTGAACCACTCCTGGGTCTCCCCTAGGTCGACTCGGCCTTACAATGAGCACCCGGTACGGTGTGTGTAAAAACGTCGGGAGACTAAGATGGTGGCGGGGGGCGTCAGTGCTGCCACCCCTCCCCACAGCCTCTGTGCCGCGCCGGCCCCGACTGCCGCTCGCTATCGATGTGCCCCCCCGCCCGCCACGAGCGCGGTCCGTCGTGCGCCACTCACAGCAGCTCGGCCACGAACACCAGCTGCACGTGCTCGCCAGCGTGGTTCTCCCTCATCGTCACCGTGAAGAGGTGGTTGGCCGAGCCCTGCCGCCCACCGCCACCGCCCCCCTCCCCGGCAGACGGCCGCGACCCCGCGACCCCGGCCTGACCCTGCGTAGCGAGCTCCTCCCCGCTGATGGCCACCACGTCCACGTTCTTGCGTAGGGCGTAGTCCGTGACGAGGTAGCTCTCGTTGCTGACGGGGGGGGGGGGGATGTGATGAGAGGGGTGGATGCGATGGGAGGCGTTATTTGTTGTTGGGTCAGAATCGCATCGCACTGCCATCACCCAAGAAATTTACATAAATGTTTTTTCATCGCACGCTTTTCATACCGCAAGGTGAAAGGCTACTTCATGCACATGTTCAAGGTAAACATTTCCCACGACAAAAATAATTAAGTAGAAAGAACGGAAGCATCAACAAAACAGTAGAATACTCGTAAGATCCCAGAATACAATCACAAATCAAAATCTTTAAGACAGGTCTTGAGCCTCGATTTTAAAATGAGTGAAACACTCGGTCACACAGCCAACAGGCCACTGCGCCATTACAGTCCCAGCCCACGTCCCCATCGTCAGTCGACTTCCCGCCCCGGCGAGGCAGTTGAAACAGTGGCCGCGCGAGGTTTCTTAAATCCCACCACCGCCTCAGTTAGGCGACAGGCAGAGCGATACGTAGCGGGGTAGAGTGCGGAGTCTCACGCCTCGTTCAAGAAGTTTGGCCCGGTGTGGAAGAGTAGACCAAAATACGCTGCAGAGGAGTTCGCAAGAAGCTCCCTCCGGCATCGAGCCGTCTACGACGTTGTGGAGCTGCGCCAAGGCCCCAACGCTCCTCCCCGCCCTCCCCTCTTGCCTGAATACCGAGGAGCCCCAAGGAGAGGAAGCCGGGCCAGGAAATATGACACCGAATTTGCGAGGAAAGTTTAACTGCAGGAGTTCAGCTGGGGGCCGAGCGCTCACCTCTTTTTCTTGGTGACAATGAGGACATCGGTGAAGAGGAAGAGATGCACCAGCTGCTTGTTGTGGCTCTTGCGGAAGATTCTCGACTCCTCCTCGAAGGTGGCGAGCTCCCCGCGCTTCAGCAGCCACCGCGACGCGGAAACTAACGGGAACGGCTGCACGGGGAGAGACACGGGGGAAAACGTGGAGAGAGACACGGCGTGAGACGCAGGGAGAGACGCGGGGAGAGACACAGGGGGAGACGTGGAGAGAGACGTGGGGGGGAGACGCGGGGAGAGACTCGCAGGGAGAGGCACGGGGAGACGTGCGGTGAGACACGTGGGGAGAAACACGGGGGAAGACATCGAGAGAGACACGGGGAGAGGCGTGGGGAGAGACGCGGGGAGACGTGCGGTGAGACACGCGGGGAGAGACACGGGGGAAGACATCGAGAGAGACACGGGGAAAGGCGTGGGGAGAGACGCGGGGAGACGTGCGGTGAGACACGCGGGGAGAGATACGGGGGAAGACATCGAGAGAGACACGGCATGAGACACAGGGAGAGACACGGGGAAACGTGGAGAGCGACATGGGAAGAGACATGGGGAGAGACACGGGGAGAGAGACAGACATGCGGGGAGATACGTGGGGAGACAGAGACGCCACAGGAGGGGGAGGCAGGGGGGGTGCGACACAGCGAGCTCGAGCCCCCCCCCCCCCCCCCGCCCCCCGAGGGAAAAATGTGGGGACCGGGGGGGGCTGAATCGTTCCACGTCCGACTGCCGACGACACGGGTGGCGCAGCGCAGCCGGGCGACAGCGCGGCGGCCAACGTGCCCTGGGAGATGCCGGCAAAACCGTCACCTTGATTTTGAACTCGAGCTGAGTCTGCAGGGTCAACATCATCTCGGTGTGCTCCATCCGCTTGGCTCCATTGTTGCAGTCCCTCACCACCTGCGGCCAGAGGCAGACGATCTCACGTGTCACGTACAGCGGTGTCACGTGTCACGTACAGCGGTGTCACGTACAGCGGTATCACGTGGGGCGGTGAGGGTGTGGTGAGGGTTAGTGAGTGTAATGAGGGGGTGAGGGTGTGGTGAGTGTCACGAGGGTGGTGAGGGTGTAGTGAGGGTGTGGTGAGTGTAATGGTGAGGGTGTGGTGAGTGTAATAAGGGGGTGAAGGTGTGGTGAGTGTGATGAGGGTGGTGAGGGTGTGGTGAGTGTAATGAGGGTGGTGAGGGTGTGGTGAGTGTGGTGGTGAGGGTGTGGTGAGTGTGATGAGGGTGGCGAGGGTGTGGTGAGTGTGGTGAGGGTGGTGAGGGTGTGGTGAGTGTAATGAGGGTGGTGAGGGTGTGGTGAGTGTAAATGAGGGTGGTGAGGGTGTGGTGAGTGTGGTGGTGAGGGTGTGGTGAGTGTAAATGAGGGTGGTGAGGGTGTGGTGAGTGTAATGAGGGTGGTGAGGGTGTGGTGAGTGTAATGAGGGTGGTGAGGATGTGGTGAATGTGGTGGTGTGGGTGTGGTGAGTGTAATGAGGGTGGCGAGGGTGTGGTGAGTGTGGTGGTGAGGGTGTGGTGAGTGTAATGAGGGTGGTGAGGGTGTGGTGAGTGTGGTGGTGAGGGTGTGGTGAGTGTAATGAGGGTGGTGAGGGTGTGGTGAGTGTGGTGGTGTGGGTGTGGTGAGTGTAATGAGGGTGGCGAGGGTGTGGTGAGTGTGGTGGTGAGGGTGTGGTGAGTGTAATGAGGGTGGTGAGGGTGTGGTGAGTGTGGTGGTGAGGGTGTGGTGAGTGTAATGAGGGTGGTGAGGGTGTGGTGAGTGTAATGAGGGTGGTGAGGGTGTGGTGAGTGTGGTGGTGAGGGTGTGGTGAGTGTAATGAGGGTGGTGAGGGTGTGGCGAGTGTAATGAGGGTGGTGAGGGTGTGGTGAGTGTGGTGGTGAGGGTGTGGTGAGTGTGGTGGTGAGGGTGTGGTGAGTGGAATGAGTCTCGGTATGGTGAGGGCCTCACTTTGCTCACGGACTTCAGCGCAAGCTTCGCCGTCTCGTACTGGAAGGTGTTCGGCTTGGACTTCTGACAAATCGTCTGCGTCGTGAGAACGTACGAGGGGGAGACGATTATAATGAGACGCCAGCATCAACCCCTCTCACCGTGTCTAGCGCTCACCCTTCCCTGCCTGACCCGAACCATACCCCTCTAACCCTACCCTGTTACCCACAACGCTACCCTGTCTGACTCTGTACCCTAACTGTAGTAACCTAAAACAACTCTACATATCCATCATCAACATTGTGGCCTTAAAAAGAAAAACAAATATATTTTTAATATAAATATATATCATAAGCAACGTTTTGGGCACTGTTCTTTCTGCATCGCACATGACTGCCTGTCTGACCCAGTCTGACCTCCGTCTGACCCCCGTCTGACCCCCGTCTGACCCCAGCCTGACCCCAGCCTGACCCCAGCCTGACCCCAGCCTGACCCCAGCCTGACCCCAGCCTGACCCCAGCCTGACCCCGCGCTGCTGTGCGGTGTCTCCACGTGCGTCCGCGCGCGCTCTCTCACGTCCATGAGCAGGGGCAGCCGCGTGATGCGCTGCATGGGCAGGATGAGGAAGGAGATCATGGGCAGCCCCCCGCACTCCGGCTTCATCTCAATCTTGCGCAGCGTCTCCTTGAACTGGGGGTTCGAGCTCCTGGGGGCGGCAACGGGACAACGCCTCCTCTTGAGTAAAAACAAAAATAATTATTGAACTTTAAAAAAAAGTCTGCAGCCGTAAAACAAAAGACGTTAGCTGTTCATCGATCGTGGCCGACTCGCGCGTACGTCATTTGTGAGCGGCAAGAGGGCTTGCAGCGAGTGCACGGTGAGCGAGCGAGTCTGTTGCGAGTGAGTCTGTTGTGAGTGACCCTGTGCTGTGAGTGAGCGAGTTTGCTACGAGCGAGAGAGGCTGCTACGGATGAGCGAGCAGGCGAGTCTCCCTGAGCAGGCGAGTCTCCCATCAGGCAACCACCAAGTCTCCTTGAGTGAGCCAGTGAGTCTCGCCGAGTTAGGAAGCGAGTGAGTGAGTGAGCGTGCGAGTCTCACCAGAGCTTCTGCAGCGTGCGCTGCTGGTAGGTCTCGTTGGTGCAGTACGTGACGTACGGCTGGAAGTGCTGCGCCGCGTACGTCTCCACGATGTCGCTGATGTCCTCGATGACGACGTTGTCCTGGTGGCGCGCCTCCAGCTCGTTGAAGAACCTGCGACACGCGCAGCACGCACGCACACACGCATAGACACACGCATAGACACACACAAAGACACGCACAAAGACACGCACAAAGACACACACACGCACGTATATACACGTGAACCCCTGCAGACGCAGCTATATTCACATGCATAAAGACGACAATCCCCTGTACAGCCTTAATGCACTGTCGGGGGCAAGAACTGTTAGCGAGTAGCACCGATGAAGGTTGGCACAACACACGAGGGGGTAGTTGGCCAGCACCACGCCCGGCCACCTTTGTCTTCCTAGTGGCGATGTTTACACACCGCGCACCAAGTACTCATTAAAAGCTGAGTCGACCTAGGGGAGGCCCAGGACTGGTTCTGACAATCGTCACTGATGCTGGCCAGTGACGTGAACCACTACACTACCACTCCCCACACACACAGATACACCCACACACTTACACACCGACACACACACACACACAGATACACCCACACACTTACACACCGACACACACACACACACAGATACACCCACACACTTACACACCGACACACACACACACACAGATACACCCACACACTTACACACCGACACACACACACACACAGATACACCCACACACTTACACACCGACACACACACACACACAGATACACCCACACACTTACACACCGACACACACACACGACAGCAACAGCGATGGTGAGTGGGCAGTGAAGGGAGAAATGGCAATAGCCCACAGAAAATATATTTTTTAAGTGAGAATATTTATTCATACTGGAGGAATCCTATGAGCTATAAAGCTCTTTTTCACAGAGCTGCAGGGAGAGGCAGCAGGGGTCACTGCAGGCTGGTGGGAGCGGAAATCGCGGGTTGCGGGGTCACGGGGTCACGGCACCCCCACCCCCTCCCCCCATTGTCCCTCACGCTCACCTGAGCAGCGCTTGCTCTTGGCTGCTCAGTGAGCGTGACACCTGCAGGCCCGCGGTGCCGCATCGAGTAAAGGAATAATCATGACGTCCCTGCCCGGTACAGGGCACCTGCCCAACCCACTCACCTGCCCAACCGGTTACACGTCAACAGCTTTGCTTGCAGCTACGGGCGCGGGGGGTAGGGGGTGGGGGGTGAGGGGTGGGGGGGTGAGATGGGTAGGTGTAGCCAAGATGCCCTCCGGCGCTGGGCCTACAAGTGGGGTGGGTCGATAAAGTCGATGAAACTAATTTAATGGAGCCAAAAGTTGAATTGACGACTTTCGTTTACGTCGATTATTGGTCGCCCCTTCAAAAATGGCGGCCGTCACCACCACGTGCTGTTCCCCGAAGGCAGGAAACCCCCTACAAGCCACGCCCTGAGTGACGCGGCTGAGAAGTTCCGTCTCAAGTTGAGTTTGAGGCGAGAAACTCGGGAGGCCAGGACGAGTCTCGTTCGCAAGAGAGCCCTGGGGCCATCGGTCTGCTGCCAGCAGTGGGCGACGATTGGTGCTGTGTGTACAACCCCTCTCACCGTGCCTAACCCTCACCTTACCTTGCCTGACCCTAACCATACCCCGACACAATTACTCACAACCCTACCCCTGACCCCGTGCCCTAATTGTACTACCCTATACCGTACAATCCCAAATGAGCCCAACTCGTAACCTCCCGTACAGCAGCACATGTGGTAACGGCATTGAGACTTTTTTTTCCCACAACTTTTTACGTGACCAAATTGAGTCGGTTATCGGTAGCGTTGGCGAGTTATCGCCTAATCAGATAACCCAGGTCGAGATGCCTTGCACGAGGCCTACTCGTCACAGGGAAAGACAGTCGGCACTTCGTATTTAATGGTTAATCCACCGGCGGTATTAACCGGGGCGGCTGCTGGGATCGAACCGCAAACTTCTGCAATAAACAGCAAACGCGGTACTGCGACAACGCTGCCGCTCGGCCACGCTACCGGGCCTCATCACCTCGTGTGCTTCGTCGGCCTCAAGAGGTGCTCGCTAACACCACTTGCCCCAACCGACTGTGCAGGCTACACGGAAAAGCTTTGGCCCGAGCGCATAGATGTGCACGCATGCGTGTCTGTGTGTGCATTCCCACGCACGCACAGACAAGACGTCCAATCGGCCGTAAGTCAGTCAGAGGTAACCCCATAAACATGACAAACGTTCACTTTTGCGGTCGTGCCGATGCTGCTATGTACGCTCCGGTGTTGATGAAAGTTTTTCAAGTTAGCCGCTGGGTAAATCCCTTAGTGCGCAGACGTAGCCGATAAGCTCGTTTGGTCTTCCTCAGCGCACCGCAGTCTCCATTGGCGCCGCTCAACAATGAACTCGCTCCGACTCGTTAGCCTCGTCGTCGTCGTCAGCATCGTCTCGAGCCAGTCCTCGACTCCGTCGCACCGGACGATCCCCACACGCCCGGCGTCGATCACAATGACAACAGTAAACGCGTCAAAGCTGACGACCACGTTTTCGTCAATAATTTTGCTCGCGGCATTAACACCGGCACGCTCGGGCCGCGCGTGATGGGCACAGCACGACGCCCCTTCCCCACCATGATGTCTTTCGGCCTCAATGCGTAACGATGTCGGCGTGCGCCACTGGGCAAGGACACCGGCATCGCCCGAGATAATCCGCGTGAAAGGCGCCATCTATTTTTTGCATCCCCCGCCCCCCCCCCGCCGCTCTCTCGGTCGGACCGGGACAGGGAGGGGAGACACGCGACTCCAAATTCCAAGGCGGTGTCACGTTTCGAGCGCCAATGCACCCTGTCGCATGGAACAGGGCTCCCAATCCCCGCATGGAAATCATTCATAAAAGCTACAACCCCATTAGGCGTTTAATTAACTGTTAAAACTGTAGTTTAACGCGTAGTCGGCTTTCGCGACCAATATTATCCATAAAAAATGTTTTTTTTGGGGTTCGATTGCGTAAATATATAAATGTGTTGTTAAACTCGCCACCACCCGACACAGCCAACTAGTAAGGTTTGTCACGTAAACAAAGCGTGACAATTCGTTACAAGCATAGCACACCAGTTGTGTGTTGGAGAGTAAACTCACTACAATATTTACTATTTTAGTACCGTGACGTTTCGCTGGTGATTACATCAGCCAGCATCATCAGGTGATTTGCCAGAATTGTGAAGAAGTCTTATTACTTGACTTAAAGCTTTCGTGACTGCAGGAATTCATATTCTTTGGGTCTTTCGGTAAAGTCACGTAGATAGGTTCAAAGAAAATAACAAAAAACTACGACGATTCGATCATGATGACGACCGCTTGTGTTGCGACCGAAACGTCGTAGTTTGTGTTATTTACTGTAATTGTCACTTGTTTATTTGGGATATAATAATAATAAAACAGAACTTCAACTCGTAAGGCGCAGTATGTGCTTGCTCTTGTGCAGAGAGAGTGAGGGCTATTGACGAACGTGGCGAGTTGTGATGTCTCGTAGGGTCGTAACGGGCGGTTGTAGGTACGGGAGGCCTCCCAAACGATGCATGAAGAGTGATCACGGTTGGTGATGTTGACGACGACGGCACTGCTCACCTCCTTAGTGTCATCGATGTGACCACGGCGGTGACCCGAGCCGTTTAGATCGCATGGTGAGGCTGGGCTATTGATTGGCCAGCTGATACAGTACGAGGAGGAATGATCGGAGCGATAGCATTTGCGTCTCCAGAGAGACATTTACAGGATTCTAAACTGCATGTTAAGGATTCCATTCAATCACAGATAGTTGTCCCTAACCTGATCATTGCCATAATTCTCACCTAACCCTCGCTCACTCTAACACATGCTCACCCTCATGCTAACCCTAATCCTGACTCGAACCCTGACTCTCACTCTGACCCTCACCCTCACACCGCCCCCACCGTCCCCACCACCTCCACCACCTCCACTACCGCCTCATCCACCACCTCCACCACCGCCCCCACCAGCTCACCCACCACCCAGCCTCCAAAAGGCTTTGAGAACCGCTGCTATCACCACCCCCCCCCCCAAATCCTCGCCCGTCAGACCACCCCTCACCCTCACCGCTCACCGCTCCCCACCGATGGCGAGGGAGCCTCACCGCTTGCTGACGTCGCGGATGTCGGTGACGTTGGAGAAGAGGTGGTGGTGCTCCAGCTTGCTCATCGTCACCTTGAGCTCGCTCGACTCCTTGAAGAGGCCGATCATCACCTCCAGGCTGTGCAGGTACGAGTGCTCCGAGGTGATGATCTCGAATATCACCTGCGGACGCGTAAGAGCACACGCTTGTTAGCCCAGGAGAGCCCCGAGTCTCAAGATGTTGTTTCCAGGAGGGTCTTGCCATGCTCTCACAGTGGGGCTGCTACTGCCACTGCTGCTGCTGCGTAATCCCAATGGAGTCATTAGCAGGTCATTTTTTCAGCATGCAGATATTTGGCCAATGCCAGTGATAAGGTGTGACTTCTTTTTTCAATCTATGGGAGCAAAATCCCCCGTGTATAGCCTTAAAAGATTGTTGGGGCAAGTACTGTTCGCGAGCACCTATGAAGGACGGCACGGTACACGAGGGGGTGGGTGGCCAGAACCGCACCCAACCGCCTTTGTCTCCATAGTGGTGATGCTTTTACACACCGCCCTAGATTTGAGGCTGAGTCGACCTAGGGGAGGTCCAGGACTGGTCCAGATAATCGTCACTGGAAGTTGGCCGTGTGACCACCCCCCCCCCACCTCGTCATTGTGAGACACGTGACCACCGTGCCCCCTCGTCACTGTGAAACACGTGACCCCCCCCCCACCTCGTCACTGTGAGACACGTGACCCCCCCCAACCTCGTCACTGTGAGACACGTGACCACCCTGCCCCCTCGTCGCTGTGAGACACGAGTGTGACCACCGTGCCACTCCATGCTTCGCCTTGCAGAGTGAGGAGTGGGCGAGTGAACAGCAGCAGCAGCAGCTGTGACCACGCGCCCACCGGAGGCGCTCACTTTGCCCGCTTACCTCTTGCCTCTTGCGCTCGTCGGCCGTCAGCTGGTGCAGAACCATGCTGCCTCGCACCTGGCAGAGCAATCGGGGTGGGGGGGGGGCACGGGGGAGGGGGGGGCGGTGGTTGGGGGGGGGGCGTGGGGGGATGGAATCACGTGAACTCTCACACGCACGGCGAGGCGTTGCTACAGCGTCAACAAAATAGCAGCGGGGGAGCTCTGTGATGTGTGTGTGTGTACGTGTGTGTGTGTGTGCGTGTGCGCGTGTGTGTGTGTACGTGTGTGTGTGTGCGCGTGTACACCGCAGCTCGCATCAATGGTGGGTGACGGCTGAACCCGAGAACCCCCCCTAGGTTGGTTTGGCCTCAAACGAGTACCCGGTGTGGTGTGCAAACATTAGCAGCGGGGAGACAAAGGGGGCCAGGGAGTGGCCGCACCACTGCCCCGTGCGCAGTTCCGGCCTTAACAGGCGCTCACTAACAGCACTTGCCCCAACAGTCGGTGAAGGCTACGAGGGGTATCTTTGCATTTGTGTGTGTGTGCATGTGTGTGTGTTTCTGTTAGTATGGTGGGGAGCACAGGTGGAGCATCTGCCAGTAATCTCAGTCGGTCAACCCATGACCCCTGGGTCTGTCCAGTGACCTCCTGACAGAGAGCTTTCGACACTTCACGTGATAGCCTCAAAGTGCACCTAGCCTGGCAAGACGCGCTGCGGTGACATCACCGTCACTTTGAGAGCCTGAAGACTCTCCTTCAGGAGGGTCCTGCTACATCGGGATGCTTCGGCAACACCAATTACACAGTGTACTTGTGTGTGTGTGTGTCTTTAGCTGGGGTAAGCCCATACAGAACCCGGGAGAAGCCCATACAAACCCCATCGTAAAAATATTCTTCATCATCATCACAGCTGTCAGTCATCACAATGTCACCGTAGTGATCAGTTCCATCGCCACCAACATCACCATCATCATTCAGTCACAACCATCACACGGTTGTCACCGGCATAGTCAATGCAAATTGACATCGTCATAACCATCGCTGTCATTTCCACCAACATCGTCATCATCGTCAACGCTATGATAACGGTCATCACAATCATTCTTAACATTATCTCCTATCATCACAATCATCACCACGAAAAATCAGCATCACCAAATCAGCATTATCATCTTCACCATCATCGTCATCATCCTTATCGTCATCGTCCTTATCGTCATCATCGTCGTCATCGTCACAATTGTCCACGTGAGCGCCACCTCTGGTAGCTGGCTCCAGGTGGTGCGGAAGGGCCGGTGTTTGATGATGATCCTGGGATTTGGCGACTCCGGTTCCGCCACCGCCACCTCCTCCGTCTCCACGTCCTCCTCCTCTCCTCCCGCCCGGGGCAGGCCCACGCTCTGGAAGCTCCTCTCGGTGGCCTCCTCCGCCTCTTCGGCCTCCACATTCTCCCGCAGCGCGTCGCTCACCAAGAGCCCCTTCTCCGTGAAGTTCTGGTAGAGGCCCGGATCTGCGGAGAAAGGCAACCACTTGGGCCACTGCATCGCCGACAAGAGGCCCCCCAGAACGTCGCCCAGGCCCGGCTGCGGCCCCTCCCCGTCGGCCCCTCCGCCCCCGTCTCGCCCGTCGGTGCCATCGCCGCCGCCGCCGTCGGCGCCTCGGCTCGGCGAGAACCCCAGGAGGCTGAGGATGGAGCTCTCGCGAGGTCGCGACCTCGGCCGCCCCCCCAGCAGGGCCGAGTCGGACGCTCGCCTCGCGGCGACCCGCACGCGCGGCGAGGGGGCCCTCGGGGAGCTCATGCTCGCGCTGGCACGGCCATGGCGCGCTGCTGCGTCCCGCACGGCACTACGACGCCGACTCCGCTCACTCCTGTACTGTCGCTCACTCGCTACTGTCGCTGCTTACTGTCGTTCACTCGCCCACTCAATCACTGCAAGCGCTCGCTCGCATCAACCCTACCGCACACGAGCTACGATCCCTCGCTCGCGACGAGCGCACGCTCGTGACTATCGCTTCTCCACGGTCGCTCGCTCGCGACGCCGTCTGCCAGCTGGCCCCGGAGAAAATTAAATTCCGCCTTTGGCAGCCGCGCGAGAAATATTTGCGGCACGCTTTCGCAACGAGCAAAACACGCCCGGTCGCCAGGGACGGAACTCGTGCAGCGAGGGCAGCGACGATTCGTTTAGGAACAAACGCCGCCGCTAATTACGTCTCTCGCTCATTCTCATTTAGAGTTCCAACTTTGTCACTTTCGATGTTCATTTCTCTCATTTCAATTCGCGATCTCCCGCACACCCCCCACGTCCCATCCTCGTCACCTACACTCTGCACGCGTCCAGGCGAATGACGCAGGTGTGCATGGCCTGGTTAAGCGTGGGCTAATCACCTTGGCACTCGTGGGCTAATCACCTTGGCACGCGGCTGCTCGTGTTTCGTTTGTGCGCCGGGATGCCCATTTTGTGCCGCACGCATCAGCGGCGGCAGCAGCGCAGGTATGCGACACGCAGCGGGAAGGGGGGGGGGATATTTGTGACCTCTGGTGCTCGTCTCTCGTCCACGTTTTTACGCTTGGGGGGGGGGGGGCACGTGCGTGCGGTGTCTGTGTGTGTGTATAAGGGGTATGAGGGTTACGTATTGTACTGTGAGGAGCGGTGGTATGGTGGTTGGGGCAGTGGGTCAAGAACCCGGCGACCCGAGGTCGATTCCCGCTCACACAAAGGCGGCCAGACGTGGTGCTCGCCACTCGCCCCCTTGTTTGCCGCTTTGGCATTCGTAGATGCTCGCTAACAGCACTTGACCCAACAGCCTGCTAAGGTTATAGGGGGGATCTTTGTTTGATTGTCTACATGACTGCGTGAGTGCGTGAGTGCACGTGTGAACGCGTGTGCATGCATCGATTTTGTGTGTGCGTACGTGCGCACAAATGTGCGTTTGAGTGCGAGCGTGTTTGCGCGTGGCCATGTTGGTGTGTTGTATGAGTGTGCGTGTGTGCGTGCGTGTGCGTGCATGTGTAAATGCGTGCTTGTGTGCTTGTGCGTCGCTGTACAGTGACTGGGCGTGCGTGAGTGAGTGTGCTCGTGAGTGTGAGTGCATCCAGCCCTGTTGGGGTGTTGTTTGTGTTGTTCGCTGTGCAAGCAGAGGCCTGCCCTGATTATCTGGTTCTACTGCCCGGCCAGACCCTCTGGCTACAATGTGTCAATGGTCGGGGTTTTTTTTTACCCCACAATAATCATATTTCACAGTGCGTTCTTAAAAAGTACGGCATGGGGTGCACGAAGTGAGACCGTGGCTGCTGCTGCTGCTGCTGCTGGCAGTGTGCGACTTGTCGACGGCGAGATCACGCTGCGCGACGCAACATTCAAGACGGCGTCCACGTCAATGACGGCAACACCAACAATACAAGACAGACGCCGACAGCGCGGCTACCAAGAGTGCACGTGCAACGATTCTCGCGCTCACGATACGCGTCGCGTCGCCAAAGCGTCGATCCCCGTGCGATTTGTAGAAACGACACGGAACCAGCTAGAGAGAGCGAACGAGACGGACGGTAACAACTTAGAGGGTACTAAACGGGACGGTGGGAAGCGCGTGTCATCGAGTCGAATCGCGACCCCTCAATCACGACAATTCATCAAAGCCCTATGGGGCAGAACTCACCGATAATTACGACTATCAAAAATAATCTATGCCTCGAATTTCCTGGCTGGCTGCTGGCTGGGCTCCTTTCTACCCCAACAGTCACCGTTGGTATTGGCTGCTGCGGGGCCGTTGCCACCGAATCTAGCTGGGTAACTGGCTACAGGCGATTTCCCGTCGAACAAATCAACATCGAGCAGATACTGCGAAGAGGTGGTGAGACATACAGAAGACTGAGCACGGCTAAATTGTTCTACCTTTTCAATTTGTGCTCGTATTAATGCGACCTCCCACCAGAGTATTCTTTTTAATCTTAGAAAATAAAAATAAAACAACCTCACAATGCATATTATCTTGGCATATTATTATTAGGTTAAGAAAATGCAGACAACTCTGAATTATCCGTGTACAGAAGGACTGTGAGAAAAGCACACACCTCACAGCTGTCTCTTATTTCCCGTTGCACAGCAACCAATTCTCTTCTCGTAACATTCAACATAACCATAAACGACACCATTATAATCATCATGTCACATCGGGTACAATTAACACTCACGCCTACACAACCGCAATGTATCATACTCAACAACCACAGCAGCGAGGATCAGTAATGAGGTGCAGGACGTGGTGATGTGCTACAGAGGGCATCACTCCCACACCTGACCATTCTGAGTATTCTAACCCACTTTTAGTTTAAATACGTATGACTCATGAGATGGTCGCGTGGCGCGCCAATACCCTCAGCTCGGTAACAACGTCCCCGCTACCACCACAGACACAATTACAGCACCAGCATCGACACGAATGCGTGCGTGCATGCGTGCGCGTGCGTGACCGGTGAGGCACGATGAATGAATGAATGAATGGGAAAGTCGCTTACTTTTGTCGAAGGTGTTTCTCCTCCTCAGTGGTCTGTCCATGATCTGGAATCCCTGCGGCACAGGGCAGGATGGCACGACGGAGCCGCGGTGAGTGGGAAGGTGGCACGGACGCCCGCCAGGCACCACCCGCACAGCAGCGAGGCTGCTAACGAGCGACCGATCGCTGGTCGGTCGCAAATTCAAAACCGGCCGTATGCATGTATGTTGAACTTCTTTCGCACCGTACGTAGCCAACCGTGGTATTCGGAGGTTCCGGACACATGCTCGCGATGACGTTGAGAGCAAGAGGAACATACGAATGAGAACAGGCACGGGTCGAAGACAAGCCTTTGTTAGTAGGCCTCGGCAAGGCAAGGTAATTTACCCTTTTTACCGGGTAAAAGGGTAAAGGTGTCGACATGCCGAGAGGTAAGGTAAAGGGAGGGTAAAGGTAGCGCGGAAGAATTACCCGGTAAATACCTTGTTTACCGACTAGCTTGTTTACTGCTCGCTAAAAGCTCCATGGCGCAGTCCGTGGCCTTCATTTAAAATTGGAATCATCGAGAGTATTCTGTATGAATAAAGCGCTCTGCCTAGCGTTCACCGTTATAAACCTTGTTCATGTGTAGTAGTACCCCAGTAATTACCCTGTAATCGGGTAATTTGTATGGGGTAAGGGTAAAAGGTAGGGTAAAGGTAGGCTCGTTGCTTTTGACCTTTTACCTGACCTGCTAAGGGGTAAAAGGTAGGGTAGAGTGATTGTATTGTGGTAAGGTAAAAGGTAGGGTAAAGGTAGGCTCGTTGTTTTTAACTTTGACCTTACCCTGCCGAGGCCGATCTGTTAGTGAGCGGGGGCTTGGGCAGGGCTCGGCTAGAAGGCCAGAAGGGCCGATGACCGACAGTCGAGACTGACGGCAGCCACGGTAAGAAACGCGCTCGAGGAGCCCTCCACGGCGCGGAGAAGGGAGCCCCTCGGCCTCTCACCTTGACCTTGCCGCGGGTTTTGGTCGTCGCCACCGTGACCGCCGTCGCGGCGGCCGGCTGCTCCTCCTCGGACAGGGCCTCGAGCGGGCCCTTGCCGCCGGGCCTGCCGCCGCCGCGGCGGCCGCGGCCCTCGATCACGTCGCTGAAGTCGACGGCGCGGCGGTACGATTGGGCGCGCAGCCCCCGCGACAGCCCCGGCCCAAACCCGTCGACGTCGTCGTCGCCTCCCGCGTCGGGCTTCCCCTCCGACTCCTCCTCGGGCTCGTCGTGCTCCCCGCGATCGTCGTCCCTGCCCCGCTCCACCACCGCCACCTCCTCTCTCCTATCCCTCACGCCGCCCGCAACCCGGACGTTGCCAGAGCCCGCGTGCCCCGCCTGCCCCGCCTGCCCCACCTGCCCGGCCTGCCCCACCTGTCCCGCCTGCCCGGCCTGCCCCCCGTGCCCCCCGTGCCCCACCTGCCCCACCTGCCCCACCTGTCCCATCCACCCCGCCGCCGACCCGCCGGAGTTCACCGGAAACTGCACTGCCACCGTGGCCCTGTGGCCCCTCGGGACGAGCGGTTTGAGCGCGGGCACCCCCTTCTTGGAGAAGGCCGACGCGGAGGAGGCCGACCTCCCCTTCTTGGCGGCCGTGGCCGTGGCGACGGCGGCGGTGGCGGTCGCCAGCGACTTGGGGATCATCTGCTGGCTGCCCGTCCGGCGCGTGCACGCCTCACTGAAAGTGCTGAGCGTCACCCTGACGCTGCGCTCTTCTCCGCCGCCATCGTCACTGGCTCCGGAGCCACCGGGGGGCGACGTGGGTGACGAGGGCGACGAGAGCGACGAGAGCGACGAGAGCGACGAGGTGATGCTGCAGCGCTCGAGACGGCCTGCCAGCTCCTCGTCAGGCTCCGCACGGCGGTCGTTGTGGCCGTGCGGAGGACCGCTCCTCGGCTCCATGTGGGTCGGTGGGTCGGTGGGCCAATGAGTGGGTGGTGGGTGTGGTGTCAGTGGGTGGGTGGGTTGGGTGGGTGGCGAGCGCTGGTGGACGACGGGAGGAGGGGAGAGGGGTGCGTGCCGAGTGGCGTCAGTAGTCACAGGGCTCCAACGTTGTCCCACAGTTTCGATTCCTGCTGCAGTTCTCTCCAGAGACTATTTGCAGTCCGTGTGGGGTTACCAAAGCTGGGAAGGTGAAGTTAAAGACCGTGTGATGCCAGGAAACGTCGGACGCTCCGAGCGCAAAATCACTTCCTCCGAGCGTCGCTCAACGAAGCGCGTTGAGGCAGAGGACGTCACGGAATGTATCTGCAACAGAGGAGATTTCACATCAGCGGAATGAGCGAGCGATCAATGAGGCTCACTGTGCGCCGTGGTGGAACATCGTGGATGATGAATAACAAACAGACAGGAAGTAGATTTCTCCTACAGGGAGTCAAGTCCATATAAAATAAAGGTTCTTTCCGTCCATCAGCCTATTAGCCTTCCAGACCAATGTTTTGAAGCATTAATCGTTCAAGCAGGTAAACTGCGCAAAGCTTACGTGGGCCGGTAGTCGGGTTTGAGCAGCGCACGTCTCAGACAGGTCTCCTCACAGCGCTATTATCATCGACGGTGTCAAATCGTTCCGTTCCTGCGATTTGACGCCGACGTTCCGAAAAGCAAATTTTCCAAAATTAGTGGACTCCGAAGTAATGGCAACGTTGTTGAGTTTCAAAGCTGGCGACCGTAGTCGGTGGACAGCAAAGACGCGTGTCACTCGACGTGAAGAGACCGGCTTTTTGTCTCTTTCAAAAATACTTTCACTAATGGATTTTCCGTCGAAGCCCCCCACCCCCCCCCACTGTCAAACCTGTACTCGGTGGGAAGGGTCGCTCATTCTCCTCTGCTGCCCCGACAGTCTCGCTTCCCCCAGCTCCCTGCCCCCCCCCCCCGCCCGCTATGTTCACAGGCCGGTCTCAGTCCTGCCTCTCCTCCTCTGCCTACGACTGTCGGCCTCTCTCGCTCCCTCGCTCCATAAAACACCACCGGCACGTTGTCTCGACAGCGTCATCCCAAGTCGTGGCCGCAGGAAGACATCGCAAGGGAACCACATTGCTACTGTGTTGAAGTTGCAACACACACACACACACACTTTGTTTAACGTATACCAACAACCTGCACCTTGCCTCGCCTGCTGCCTTCCCCAGACTGACTGGGTCAAGCGGCGCGGTGCGTCTTTACAGCAATAGTTACGATTGACATCCGTGGTGCGTGCCGCGGGGACTAGGTCGACATAAAACTCCGCGTTTTACCACAAACACTCATCCTGGGTGTCGCCCCACAGATGCGTCGCCTCTGTAAAACCTCGCTCGGGCGAGGGTTGTTTTAGTTGTAGCCCCCCCCCCAGCCCACCACGCGTGCGATTAGCTGGTACGTCAGCAGCAGAACACACACACACAACAAAGATCCCCCATATAGCCTTTAGCAGACTGTGTTGCTGCTATTGCTGAAGCTGCTATTGCTGAAGGCCTGCACAGCACACGAGGGGGTGGGTGGCCAACACCACGCCCGCCCAGCCGCCTCTGTCTCCCCAGCGGTGACGTTTGCACACTGCACCAGGTACACATTTGAGGCTGAGTCGACTTAGGGGAGGCCCAGAATCGGTTCAGATGATCGTCGCTGTGTGTGTGTGTGTCTGTGTAGTGGGGAGCGGTAGTGTAGTGGTTAGCGCTACGCTGCGCTACGAACCTGGCGACCCGGGTTCGATTCCCGCTCACGGCCAACACCAGTAACGATTATTTGAACCGGTCCTGGGCCTCCCCTAGGTCGACTTAGCCTCAAATGATTATCCGGTGCGTTGTGTAAAAATCGCCACTGGGGAGACAAAGGCGGCCGGGCGTGGTGCTGGCCACCCACCCCTTCGTGTGCCGTGCTGGTCTTCATAGGTGCTCGCTAACAGCACTTATGCAAAACACCAGTCGATCATCGCTATAAAACCCCCACTTGGGCACGAGCAGTCTGTTTTCATCGCTTCCGACAGCCATCGGTTCTCACCTGCTCACACCTCCACACGGTCGCGTAGCTACCGAGTGACGCGCACGCTCTCGGACCGCTCGTCTCGAGCGAGCCCAGGGCGAGAGCCGCGGTGAGTCGAGACCCGCCTCCCCTTTGTGTCAACAAGCAAGTGCCAAAGTCGCCCTCCCGGCCGTACACAGCCCAACACTCACACAGAGAGGGCCTCCTTCCTACACGGGAAGCTCGACGCGAAAAATGATCAAAGCAAGTCAGGGAAAGTCACGCTAAACAAAGCGACCGATCGCATTCCACTTGTAGTCATCAACTAAATGTAAACGTGCAGCTTCCCTTGTCAATCCACTGCTGGATGAGGCAACCGCCCCCCCTTCCATTCCGTGCAGGTTTTATTTGACCATACTTCACCACCCTGGGCAGTGTGGGTTGGTGTAAGACTGTAGGTGCAGGCAGAAGGCACAGCAGTGGGATCATAGCAGTGAAGTACAACGGTGGATGTTGCTGCTGCTGCCCTCTGCTGCTCAGGGCCCACAAAGCTAAGCAGGCTCAAGACTGGGTACAGCTTGGGTGGGCGACTCGCATGCATAGCGGGTGCGATTGGCCAAGGCCCGGATTCGAACCCAACTCCTCAGCGGTGGTTGGCTCAGCCTCTCCGACCGCCCAGCCACCTCCCTGTGCCCTGCTCCGTCGTCCCCGTGCGGTGAACTCCGAGCCCACTTTGCCGTGACTCAAGAGAAACATCGAGATTGCGCAACAATGCCGAGGCGGACTTCCCAGCACCAGTCACCTGGGCGTGTTTATAGGGCTCTCAAATTCAACCACAAAGTGCCTCTGCGCTAAAAGTGGACTCACGGACAGCCGAAACAAACGTGGTGCGTCACCCGTCTCCAATGGTGGACATTCCACATTCCTCTGGTGAATACCCGTCTCTCCGTCTCTCCATAGTGGAGGGATGGGTCTTCACTACTGTCGTGTTGTTGTTGTACCGTCTGTTCTAACGTTCTACCTACCCCTACTGAACATCTGTGAAAAAGAGCTGCATAGGTCATCAGATTCCTCCAGTGTGAATACCTTTTCTGATACTGAAATATTCTCATTCTCCACATGACAACACCAGGCATGAGGAGTGGCAGCTGCTTCTTTTTTACCGACTGTGGAAGAGCTGATATAGGCCGAGCTGAATCATGACCGGAATGTAAACTGATAACCTTGTGTGCGATACTACAGTGGAGCTCTCTGACGAATGGACAAGTTAACCGAGTAGTACAGTGCAGTACAAATAATAATATAAAAACAACTCCAGGGTAATAAAGTTGTCGGGGGAGGGCCGCGCCAGGAAAAACAATGCAGGGTCAAAAGGTCACCTGCTGTCCGTCCACGTTCCTCTGATTAAAGCCACGCGGAGGAGCTCAGCGCTGCGATGAGCCACTCCCCGTCATCGACCACATCGCGTGAAGAAATGAGCCGAGGCCGTGACGCTCACCGCGAGTGACGAACACAAACAAGAGGTGGGCCCCCTCTTTTGAAGGCGACGCAACCGCTCCCAAAATATCCCTTCCCGCTTGCAAAAGAGCCGGCATGGCTCACCGCCGTCGTGATCGTCATCAGCCAGGGTCTATCCGCTGCTGGACCCAAGGCCTCCCCGACACCCTCCCTGGCAGGCCAGCGCCGTGAGCGTCCAATTTCACTCCTGCGCACGAGCTCATATCACCGCTCCGTCCACGTGGTGGCTGTCCTCATGGACGCGGTCTCTCCTTCGACTGCCATTCCATCACCAGCCTCGTCTATTGGCCATCATACCATCTACCAATGATCTATCCTGTCCAAGTCCATTTACATTGATTTATGATCAATATGACGTCTCGGAAGCGAGCTTGTTTCCTGATCCGTGTGCTCCCTTTGCTCTCTCTCTCTCCCTGTGGGTAAGTCCAAGCGTGCTCCCCTCCACACGTGCTTTGTGCACGTTTCAGACTTTATTCCATTTGTCTTTGTCAACCGAGTGGCAGCAGAAGAATGTACCAAGGGCACCCCTCCTCCCACCCAATGTATTTAGGTGCCCCCCAAAATTGATCGGTGTGTCTCTCTTCATGTCCTCTGTGCGTCTTTTTCCCGTTTAGGTTTCCATGTTCTGCTCATCTCTTTTTCCATGTCTCTGTGTTTGTCTTTCTCTGCGATGGGACTCTTCACGTGTCGATATTCGCTTGCTGCACGCCCGTGTGTCTCTGTGTGTCTCTGTCTCTCTGTCTCTCTGTGTGTCTCTGTCTCTCTGTGTGTCTCTGTCTCTCTGTGTGTCTCTGTCTCTCTGTGTGTCTCTGTCTCTCTGTGTGTCTGTCTCTCTGTGTGTCTCTGTCTCCCTGTGTGTCTCTGTCTCTCTGTGTGTCTCTGTCTCTCTGTGTGTCTCTGTCTCTCTGTGTCTCTGTCTCTCTGTGTGTGTCCGTGGGGAGGGGTAGGGTAGCGGTTAGCGCTACGCTGCGCTACGAACCCGGCGACCCGAGTTCGATTCCCGCTCACGGCCACCAACACCAGTGACGATAATCTGAACCGGTCCTGGGCCTCCCTTAGGTCGGCTCAGCCTTAAATACGTACCCGGTGCGGTGTGTAAACATCGCCACTGGGGAGACAAAGGCGGTCGGGCGTGGTGCTGGCCAACGACCCCTCGTGTGTAGTGCTGGCCTTCACAGGTGCTCGCTAACAGCACTTGCCCCAACAGTCTGCTAAGGATATTCGGGGGATCTTTGTGTTTGTTTTTTTGTGTTCGTGCGTTTCTGTGAGTTTGTGCTTGACCCTCTTCATGTCAGTCTCTGTGTCTATGTTAATGTGTCTCTCCATCACTCTGTCCATTCCCACGTCTCTCTGCATGCCTCTCTCCTACCCGGGTTCTCCGGTTTGTCCCTCCACAAGTAGAAACGCGCGTTTCGAGTACAGGACACCTTCACACGCGTCAAGCCACTTTGTTGAGCTGTCTCTTGTGGCCAGGTCGCCTCCGAAAGAGCTCCTTAGCTCAGTGGGACTTGCCTGGTGAAATTTAAAATAAAATAGTTTAGTTTCGTTTTACCCACCCATTCAAGACGGGGCATTTCTGAATGACAGGGAAGCCGCCACACGAGAGAATCACTCCACCAAGTCTGGTTTGCAAGCAGAACGTCTCCGACTGTCACCGGCTCGCTGCCCATGCGTGTCCACGCGACTCGCAGCCTCCATCTCTGATTGCAGGCGCGTGTCGCTGCTGTGTACGTAGCCTGCCACACAGCGGTGGCTACGCGACACTCACCAGACGCTCATTGGACACTCACCACTCGCCTGACAGCAAGATACTGGCCAGACACTATCCCACTCACCTGACCATCATGACACACTCACCAGGCACTCACCGCTCACCTTTACACGACGGACTTGAGCATGACGACTCAGCAGACGCTGGGCCACTCAGATGAGACTCACCAATCACCCACACACTCACCAGGCACTGCTATAGCACAATCCCAATGGCATAGTGGAATGTAACACAGCACCCACGGACTTGTACAACAAGAACACAACGACCAAACGCGTGGAACACGACCCAGCATCCAACAGCAGTGGACAGTAGTAACCCCTTCAACAAACTTTGCCGCACTTTGATAATGAAACCCAAGACGGGCCATTCAATAGTTATTTTGCAAATAGCAGGACAGTGCTCATAACAATACGGTAGTCGTGCGTTTAACTCCCAAAAGCCTTTACCGAGTCTCAAGCACGCCTCTCTAAGGATGGTCACGCTACAGCGGGACTTGTTTAGCCGAGCCCAGACTTGTTTGGTTGGCTTCTTGTGGGATGAAAGCCGGGATAACGCTCAAAGCGCCGCACAGATAGACTCAGGAATCCATTGCCGAACTGCCATCTAGTGGCCACCGGTAAGCTACTAACTCGTTACGTGAATCAATCACAGCCGCAGTGTTGTTGTTGTTGTTATCATGTACGACACGTGCAAGCCTGTGGTGTCACTCCACTGCTGCATCTGGGTCTCCTCCCCACGTCGTGGTCAGTCCGCGTTGGTAAAAGCAGATAAGTGGCAGCATAGAAGTGGCGTCCAACGGACGACGGTGTTCTTGCTTTCTAACACAATGTCCACATTCATGTGGCGGGGGTCCGTATATCCGTAAGATGGCCGCCATTGACTTGCTTCCCAGAGTGGGCATCTGTGAAAAAGAGCTTCATAGCTCATCCGATTCCTCCAAGTATCAATACATTTTCTGATTTTATCGACCCTGGAAGGGGTGATGGGCCAGGTGAAACCCATCACTCAGACACAAGCACGCTCGTAGTTCCTGAAAGTTTGGACCCAGTGGCTCGGTTTCGGTTTGCGTGGTCACGGCACTTAAAGAAAGTGTTTACAGTACAGCGGGCACAGAGTTGCACATATATCGTGATCATCGGCCAAGGTCAGTCCACCGCTGGATGAAGGCCTGATCCCCAGTCGCCCGAGTGTGTGTATAGAGAGAGAGCACACGCTTCTAAAGAGCTAAATGCTGCAACAGGCACCTGACAGAGAACACATTAATCGTGACGTCTCCCAACAGCAGCAAGGAAGGAGGGGATTATAATAATCAGAGGGGATTCTGAGCTCTGCACGGATCATCACGTGCTTTAGTTTAAAGCGATGTAAGCCGTCGCGATGTTGCATAAAGAAGGGCTTTTGCCCGAAACGTCGTCTATATTTATCTTTACCCGGCCCCCCGCACACACACAGTTGTTATTCTTATTCTACTGTATATCTGATTAAGTAATTGGAATGTGCTGAGTTTGTGTTGTTGGTGTGATGAAAGTTAAAGGCGCGCGCGGCTCTGCAATTGTTCGCTCACGCCGGGGGGCGGCGGTTAAAGCCCCCCCCCCCACCCCACCACCGTCGGTTTGACTGCCGCGCCGGGAGAACGAGAATCGAAGCGGCGACCCTCTGCGTCGCAAGTCGATGCGTGGCCCCCCACCCCCGTAGCATACCTCTGGGGTTCGTGGTGTCCACCGCCTGTCGGCACAGGTCCGCGAGCGCTCGATCTGAAGTGGCTAGGCGATGATCATCGGCCAGCACACGCTGCTTGCTGCCGGCAACGGGGTGGGGGGGTGTGGGGAGGCAAATGAAACAAAGTTTTGTCCTTCAAACCCCTCCGTCTCTCTCTCTCGTCCTCCTTCCAACCACCCTCATCGACCGGGCACGGCGCACGGCACGGCGATTCCGGGAGGAGTTGTGGGCGAGAGGCCGGTGTGGGAGGAAGGCAGCAGGGGTGGAGGCGGGAGGGTGAATCGTCAGGAAGTGATCGGGCGACACGCACGGTCTCTCGATGCCGCACGACGACTACCTTCGCCTGCTGGTGAAATAATGCGTGGATCATGGGGCCTTGGACCACAGCTGCGTGTCGTTACAGGGCCACCTGGCGGCACAGGTGCGACCCTACACCTGGTGGCGCAGGTGCGACCTTGAACGCGTTCATTGGTGTAGCGCGTGTTTTGAAAACCACGTGTTCAGAGACGGAACATAAGCGGATAGCAGCCATGACTGGGAACCGAGCTCAGGGTGGCCCAGGTACATAGTGATGACGATGATCATGATTTGTGTTTGAGACAGAGCTGTCGCATCTGCCAGTCATCTCAGTCAGTCACCTGCCAGCAGCGAGCCCTTCCACAAAGTGCACCTGGCCTGGCACAGGCGTCGTGGAGACGTCACCGCCACTTGGTGGTGAAGTCACCGCCACTTGGTGGTGAAGGGCGCCAGCGGTTGTTATTGTTGTGTGTGTGTCCTGTACGCCGTGCCGCTTCAGAGCTCTCGACGTCTCAATCTCAACAACGTTTGGCAGGGCACCCCCAGTGGCAGCTGCCCCTGTGTGGCACAAGGGGACTCAGCACCCGTGCTATGAATAAGCGCCATTGCCTGACACATCGCTGATTGTTTATTATAATATTAATATTTTAAGGCTACAGTGTTGTTGACGACTGTGTTGTATATGTACATTAGCACTCTGAAATATATAAACATTAATCCGTTAATGTTGTTTTAAATCGATAATTAATATCGCTTAAGAGTCAAACATTCATTGTCAATTCACTCTTTTTTAAATCCTTTATATTAAGTTCGCGTGCTTGCTTGCTTGCTTAGGACCGTGCACATCTTTCGGTCGTTTTTTAACCCACTTCCCGTGATCCAATCGAGCTGACATTTTCCACACAGACTCGTTGTGCCAGACAATTATTGTTCGTGAAAAAAAATTCCCAAAATGTTACACTTTTTATGCAAAAAAATTTTATTTTACATATATTCAAATAGAACGCATTCATGGCTTTGGCTGAACATCACAGTGCAAGAGCCCAGAGCGTAACCCCTCCACAGGCCGTGGCGGAGTAGCGCAGTTGGTAGCGCCCTCGCTTCCCATGCCAAAGGTCGCGGGATCGATCCCCGCGTCCTCCACAGGCGAATATATTTTTAAATCCTTTATATTAAGTTCGCTTGCTTGCTTAGGACCGTGCAAATCTTTCGCTCGTTTTTTAACCCACTTCCCGTGATCCAATCGACCTGACATTTTCCACACAGACTCGTTGTGTGTGACAATTAATTTTCGTGAATTTTTTTTTCCAAAATTTTACACTGTTTAGGGAAAACTAATTAAATATTTAATTACCAATTGCTTAATACTGGCAGACAATCATCTGACCCATAGATTGCAGCCATCTCAAGCCAGAGGACGAGAGAACTCTAGCCGCCACGCATATAAAGGATTTAGAGTGAAAAACTTTGTTTTTACGGGTTAACTTGTTTTTATTGGAGTGACGCCACGGGAGCTACAGCGTGCACTGCGAAGGGGCACGGCGCCAACTGCCAATACGCCTGCAGCATTAACCGGGGAGGCCCGTGCCACGAACCGCAAGCCTCGAGCGACAGGCGGCCAGTGCACTACCGCTCCTCCACTTCATGCTATGGCAATTTTCCACTTTCACGCGAAACTAAAAATCAGATTTTGTATAAATACTGGAGGAATCCCATGAGCTATAAAGCTATTTTTTGTTTACAGATGTCCAGTCGTCCCTGCTGAGTTTCAAGACGTATTTTTGATTCAGGAGGACCCTGCTGAGGTGCAACGTTTGGCCAATGCCGTGAATGAGCCCCTTGGGTTCACGGCGGAGGAGGAAGCGGGAGTGGTTGGAGACAGCTCAGCACAACGACTAAGGCTCCGCACAAATAGATTCAAGAATCCATTGCTGCATTGCCATGTCCTTGACACCTCGCAACCCCAAGCTTACAACACCAAGTAGGCAACTGTAATCAATAAATAAATCTTACAATAACTCTTCCGTATTGGATGGGATTAGAGTTGTATATGTCAGAAGAGGTGAGGGGTGTGTCAAACGAGAAGAGAGTTCCACGTAAGACAAGACTGTGATTCTTTATAGAAGTGAGACGCGGGGTTTTGTAATGGATTGGTCGTGTGTACAGGGCGTTACAGACGCACAGAAATGTCGCCTGGGGCTTAGCCGGTTTCCACGACGTCGCCTTATTATCATCATCCTCGCTTCCCACGTCCCCGGCACAATAGCGGCCACTGCGAGAACGACCACTCGACACCTTCCCGTCATCACCGGCGGTCACACGGAACCCTCTCCCTCGCCTGGGGGAGGGGGGGGGAGATTCTCGTTTGAAACGTCGCATCGCACAGTGACGGAGAGGCGTGTGGAGTTTCAGGGTGGAAGAGAGGGAATGGTCACGATGGAGGCAGTGAAAGAGACCCACCGCACACAGCCCACGCACAACAATCAAAGACATCCCCCGTATCGGCTGAACAGAGTTTTGGGGCAAGTGCTGTTATCGAGCGCCTAATGAAGGCCGGCACGGCACACGAGGGGGTGGGTGGCCAGCACCACGCCCGACCGCCTTTGTCTCCCCAGTGGCGATGTTTACACGCCGTACCAAGTATTAATTTGAGGCTGAGTCGACCTAGGGGAGGCCCAGGACCGCTTCAGATGATCCTGGCCGGGCTCGTAGCGCAGCGCGTTAACCACTGCACCACCGCTCCCCACAGCGCTCCAAGTCACCACCAGGAGGTGAAGACATTCCCATTCGGAGCGTTTCCAACAAGCAGTGCACCACCTGGTGTCAGAGAACACCCCTGGAAGATGGCATCGCAGAACTACTTCTGAAAGCACTCTCGATGGAAACCCTCGTGCACATGGCCTGTCACGAGTATTTGTGACATGTCATTCCAACCGAAAATGTTACTTCTCAGAGTTGTAATCGTCTTCTTCTCTGGTACGGCTGCTGATGTAGACGCAGAGCCACAACTGCAGTGTCACACCCACGTGGTGCAGGTAGAGGCAGAGAGCCACAACTGCAGTGTCACATCCACGTGGTGCAGGTAGAGGCAGAGAGACACAACTGCAGTGTCACATCCACGTGGTGCAGGTAGAGGCAGAGAGACACAACTGCAGTGTCACATCCACGTGGTGCAGGTAGAGGCAGAGAGACACAACTGCAGTGTCACATCCACGTGGTGCAGGTAGAGGCAGAGAGACACAACTGCAGTGTCACATCCACGTGGTGCAGGTAGAGGCAGAGACACAACTGCAGTGTCACATCCACGTGGTGCAGGTAGAGGCAGAGCCACAACTGCAGTGTCACATCCACGTGGTGCAGGTAGAGGCAGAGAGACACAACTGCAGTGTCACATCCACGTGGTGCAGGCAGAGGCAGAGCCACAACTGCAGTGTCACATCCACGTGGTGCAGGTAGAGGCAGAGAGACACAACTGCAGTGTCACACCCACGTGGTGCAGGTAGAGGCAGAGCCACAACTGCAGTGTCACACCCGCGTGGTGCAGGTAGAGGCAGAGAGACACAACTGCAGTGTCACATCCACGTGGTGCAGGTAGAGGCAGAGACACAACTGCAGTGTCACATCCACGTGGTGCAGGTAGAGGCAGAGCCACAACTGCAGTGTCACATCCACGTGGTGCAGGTAGAGGCAGAGAGACACAACTGCAGTGTCACATCCACGTGGTGCAGGCAGAGGCAGAGCCACAACTGCAGTGTCACACCCACGTGGTGCAGGTAGAGGCAGAGAGACACAACTGCAGTGTCACATCCACGTGGTGCAGGTAGAGGCAGAGAGACACAACTGCAGTGTCACATCCACGTGGTGCAGGTAGAGGCAGAGAGACACAACTGCAGTGTCACATCCACGTGGTGCAGGGAGAGGCAGAGCCACAACTGCAGTGTCACATCCACGTGGTGCAGGCAGAGGCAGAGAGACACAACTGCAGTGTCACATCCACGTGGTGCAGGCAGAGGCAGAGCCACAACTGCAGTGTCACATCCACGTGGTGCAGGTAGAGGCAGAGAGACACAACTGCAGTGTCACACCCACGTGGTGCAGGTAGAGGCAGAGCCACAACTGCAGTGTCACACCCACGTGGTGCAGGTAGAGGCAGAGAGACACAACTGCAGTGTCACATCCACGTGGTGCAGGTAGAGGCAGAGACACAACTGCAGTGTCACATCCACGTGGTGCAGGGAGAGGCAGAGCCACAACTGCAGTGTCACATCCACGTGGTGCAGGCAGAGGCAGAGAGACACAACTGCAGTGTCACATCCACGTGGTGCAGGCAGACAGCCGCGCCAGGAGTAGTCGTGTATCATCGCTTTGATGTCTCCGTATTTTTGAATGGGGCATTGGGTCGTTGCACGGTGTGTTCTGGATGATCACAGTCGCACACCACTGCTACTGGAGAGGGTTTTTTTTTACCATGTATTCATCAGGTATCCATTTCTACTGCCGCCATGGTGTGTGCGGATGCGGTTTCGAGTTGTAATCAACCGCGTGAAGTTGTTACAACAACAACAACAACAACAACCCGACATGGTAATTCGGGGATTGGGTCGAGGTCACAAACGCGTTGAGTTTGAGAACCCGAATTCACATCGCCGGCGGCATCGCGATGGGGTGCGCCGACACGGGACGAGCACCACGAGACAAGAGTCGGCCTCGTGGGCAGGGCTGGGCAATCAAAATAACGAGATGAGACCAATTCAAAATTACGTCGAATTCGGTCAAAAAAGCACCTCAATATTTCAGGAGCCGCAATGCACTGCGACGGTGGTGGTGGTGGTGGTGGTGATGGTGGTGGTGATGGTGGTGGTGAACACGAGACGGTGTGGTCCTTAATGAATAACGTCACGAAGCAAGAGTCATTAGAGAGCCAGCGCATGCGGCTCCCGATCCGCAGGTCGCCGAGCCCTGCTCATGGGTAGCCTCCGTGTTGTCGTGGCC